CCCTTCGGCGCCTACCTCCTCTACGGCCTCCGCATGTCCGGCCCCGCGGGCCCGGACCTGCTCCGCTCCCTCTGCCACCACGCCCACAACGTGGCCCGCAAGAACCCGGCCTGCGCCGTCGTCGCCGCCGACGTCGCGCCCGACGACCCGGCCGCCGCCGCCGTCCCGAGGTGGCGCCGCTTCTCCTGCGACGAGGACGTCTGGTGCATCAAGAACCTCAGCAAGAATGCCGACGCCGACGACGACGACGGCTGGGCGGCGCCGGCGCCGTCCGGGACGGTCCTGTTCGTCGATCCCCGCGAGTTTTGACGTAGCCATGGCCACCGAGCCATGCATGGCAGGTGTAGGCAGAGGGCTAACCGCCTCGCCTCTGCCAAGTTTTGACGACTGCACACGTGTACATACGCTTGGTACCGCAATGGCAATCACCTGCCTTGCCATTTGTGGTATCAAACCACCCAAGCTAAAGTGATGATGTCTGTAACGGTAGCATTTGCTTCTGAATTTAGGATAGCGACGAGGTTTGTCTTAGTTTCTTTCTAATCAATGTGATTTAGTACATATAAGTCCACGAAGCTCTTCAGTAAATGAAGTGAACTTTGGGGTCTTGTTTTTACAGTTTAACTAGCATTGTAATCATAAGCAACAACTAATAAGAAGAATTCCCAACTCAGGTTAGTTTTAAAATCTAGCAGTCCTAATCAAATTGACCGTTGGCAGAAATATTCAGTGGGAAAAAAAGGAAAAGGAGATGAAAAGGGCATTTCTGTCATCTGTTCATCCTTCCAATCACGCAGCAGTGACGGTCGTAGGATTTTAAGGACGTCCGGCAAACTCGTCCTAACGGCCCTCTGAACCATGTTATAAAATTTTATAATATATATGCGCTAATTTTACTTGGTAAAACAAAAGCAAATTTAATAATATATTTTTAATTTAACATGTCTGATAATTATCGAGAAACAATGTAGATTAAGCAATATATTTATAGATGTATGATAATTATCGAGGAACAATGTAGATTAAAAAAAATATATTTTTTTTCTTTTCTCAGCCATGACAAATGTTTCTTAGCTAACATTATAAAATTCTAACACCTAAATTAGAAGAAAAATATGACTATATGGATACAAAGTACTAGAAGTCTGGAATAATATATAAATAATTAATTTGGATTAAAAATAAAAAGGAAAAAATACCTTGGCCCTAAATAACTGATCGGTGATCGTAATTCATAAGAAACCAAGAATCAAGATGTCATCGTCGTGGAGCCCTGTCTGGTCGCCGTCCTCGTGCGCCGTGTCCGTGTCTCCGGTAGTCTAGCTCTTCGTGGCGGCGTGGCTCACCAGCTCCGCGTGTGTAAGGCGCACGTCACGAACTCACTATCAGAGTGTGTTGTGTACAGCGTGACTCATCGTCTCCTCTCTACCCGAGGACTGTGGAAAAAGAAAACTAGGAAAGAAATATCGATATTATCTTTTTGGACCATTTGACTAATTCTATATCTCTTTTTTATTAGTTTGCTAATACCTAATGGACTATAGAACCTGAGAGTTTGTAGAGCTTGGACCCCTCCTCCGCTTGGGCCGTCGGCTATCGCACCTCGTGCCCTACGCCTAGAGCCGGCACTGTCACGCAGAAATCAGAATTCATCGTGCTACTAATATCCATCCATCTTTTGACTGACGAAACCAATCAATCCGAAAAGATATTGATAGGTACTTTGGTTCCTGAAGCCCAGCAGTTCAGCTTCAACGACCTGATCTATATTCAGCAACCAAATCTTTTTTATTCATCATCAATTCCATGCACAAAATCAGCCAAATATTATTCCGAGATCACCTAAATCCCTGTGCCCCACTAATAAACAGGAGCTTTCAGTTGGTGCAGATCTGATGCTTCCATGATGTTGATCTGATGCATGGTCCATGTCACCAACGCCGCATGAGAGGTCCACAACACAAGGAGAAAGTACACTCACATCCCTGCTTCAGAGAGTTTAGAGCCAGATCTTCACATAGTACCAGCCAAACATGGCATGTCAAGGAACTGATCATGAGTGCTAAACGGCGATGGTCCAGGCCCCTCCTATATTCTCTGACCAAAGAAAGCCATGGATGGAGATGGACCTCTGCAAAAGAGCCTTAGCTTCATCAGAAACGGCTCAGTAAACTGCAGAAGCAGCTATAGGTTAGCGTGGTCCCTGAACCTGTCCGGCCAATCGATGAGCCACTGCGAAACTAAAGCTCAAGAAGTGACAGCACTGGCTTGTATAGATTAGCCAAAGCATTTCGCAAGTTGTGGCCTTTCATGCAGGGTTGCCATTGGCCATTAGGGTTCTTTTTTGCTTTTTTGAACGAATTAGGGTTCTTTGGTCCCCTACACAATCCTAGGAGGGGGTGTACATGGCCATGGCTGCAGTCACGCTCACTGCTCACTTTGTTCGGCGTCGGCGCCGCGCGCAGAAGGTGCAAGAGGAAACCTCAGAGGGAAAGAGACGGCTGAGAGGAATTTGCAGCAACAGATTCAGCACCAGCATAACAGCACAACAAAAGGCATGAAACAATGGACAGAAGATTGTGTAAGGGAGCAAAGCGAATTTTAAATCCTTATTATTTTGCCTGGTGCAAAACATAGGCATACAATGACAGGAGATTATTAAAGACAGGCACACATCTATTTCATATACATCTGAATCTGATTATGTTATGCAGATGAATTATGAAATGATTATTAAGCCTATGATTACATGAAATGCCTGGGCAAAAACCTAACGAACAGCATAACCAGATAGAGGCAAATAAAACAGAAATGATGGCCTTATCAGAAAGGAACAATAGAAGAACTGTCTTTTTCAAAGAAAAAAGGAACTAAGCGATGAGATACATGACAGAAATTGCCTTTGAAATCAGCCTAACAGATGCCTGAAGAGAATATACCAATAGAAAAAGAAGGGCAGTGCCAAGAGCCAACTAAAAAATCAAAGATATGCTGGAGAGGAATATGGAAAGGCGAAACAAAAGGAATATTTGAAACCTTATATGCTGGTGAATATGTCACAGCAAGTTTATTTTATTTCAAGAAAAGAAGGAGCTCCTTTTGTGACCCGACAGGGACGTTAAGCTCCATTTGTTTAGTTTCAGAAGATACCCCTATTGCATCAGAAATGCACTAACGAGATAAGCTGGAACATCCGTATCTGAACAAAGACAAGATAACAGATCGATGTCTGCATTCGAATGGGTTATTTCTTTGAACAAGAATCTACAGGTGTCGATGTCTCATCATTTTCAGGAGCATTGAACTAGAATCTAAAGCATTCAGGATCACTGAGCGATGTCTCCATCATCCTGATGCATCAATGTGTGTTTTGGCAACGTGCTTTCTGGTCTTCGGAAAGAAACTTCCCTGGACGAGTCTAGTCTACACAGTAGCGACTTGGCTTCTTTATCCAGCTTTTACGGGATGCTAAGTGGAAGATAGCTGCCCCACACGACAAATATCGTATACATCCAACAAGGAATTAGATTTCATTCAAAGAACTGTTTAAACTTTATAAAGTTTTTCTTTCCACTCACTTCTTTATAGCTCATCCTTACGTTGTAAACTCCCAGCTTGAGATAATATTTTGGGTGTGTTTGCCATGGATCAAAATTCTCATAGAAATGTTTTGGATCAAGATTCTCTTAAGAAACGTTTCAGCTAATGAATCAAGATCACTTTGTAAAATGGTTAGCTGGTAGGCTGAATCCTGATAAAAAAAATACACGAAAATCATATATAAATAAAAAAAATTCTTCAACAAAATTTAGAACCTTTTGTGGGTGAAGAACTTAAATACAACTCATTTAAACTTGTCTCACTTAACAAAAATAACTTGGGGATGGGGTGGGGACAAGAATCAAAATCACGTGAAACCTTGCAAGACATAAAAACTAGAAACCATTCTGGTGATTCTTGAGTGAAACATTTCTCGCATAACTCGTTTGTTATCGATTCGATTGATTCTCGCAAGAAACAAAAACGTTTCTGGTTGCCAAATTTTTTTTGATCTTGTCATTGTGGACTTCGATTCGCCAAACTTTGTTGAAGTGAATTAAAATCTGTGTGAAGACGACAATTCATATACTTCACATGAACATGTCTTCAATCCATAGTACAAACTGCCAAAACCAGTTTGTAAATGCCAACTGGACTTTGCAGTTTCACTCTCAATCTCTCCTTAAAACAAGTTTTACCCGGACACCCCAGTTCTGAACTTTGCTGCCAATTTGTCGAGGCCATACTATTGGTGCCCCCCCAAAAAAAAAAAACGCTAAATCAACAATAGCTTCAGATTAGTTTGTTAAACAGATGTAAGCGCTGGCTCTGTAAATCAGGTGGCCACCCGTGGAAGACAACCATAACACAATTTCTTGCCCAGGTTAACCAACATGACTCAAAGGGATATAACAGCAATATCCCTTATCAACCAACATGACTCAAAGGGATATAACACAAGTTCTTGCCCAGGTTAATCAACATCCCTTTTCAACCAACATGCCAAGGGATATATGACAGCAAAAGGCAACATCCCATTTCAACAAACATCATTCAAATCAAAGGGACATGCATGGCAAAAACATGAGCACAATCTTACTCTACAAGTGATGGGGATTCAAGAAAAACCAAAAATTAGATGACAACACGATTGATTTAGCCAACAAGCTTACTCTGCAAGTGATGAGGATTCAAGGAAAACCAGAAAATAGACAACAACACGATTGATATATAGCCATTTAGGTGAAAGGACAGATCAGATGGCAATTGAATGAACTCAGGGCAATAAGAATGAGATGGCAACTGAATGAACTTAGTTCAAGCATTTCTCAAACAGTACAGATGACACCTGACTCTAGTAGTCTGCTAATTGCATGGCACAATCAACCACCCAATACAAGGCTTCAATTCTGAAACAACCGTATGTAACGGATAGCATAAGCAGAAACTAACTTTTTAATCTATTGGCCACCCCTCAGAGCAAGCACAAGATGGAGCACTGAACCACCTTCAATGTTATAATCCTTGGCAGTTTTGTCATCAGCAAGTTGCTTCCCAGCATAAATGAGCCTGTGCATGCAACAGTTTTTATTAGGACCACACAATGCTAAAAGAAGATTAAAAGAATTTGGAGCTTATAGAAAGGTTTCAGATTCATATAGATTATTGTGTGTGTGTGTATGTGTGTGTGTGTGTGTGTGGGGGGGGCAAGTAGAGTACCTCTGCTGAACAGGTGGAATGCCTTCTTTCTCCTCAACACGCTCCTTGATCCTATCGATCGTGTCAGTGGGCTCGATGTCAATCTCGATTTCCTTCCCAGTCAGTGTCTTCACCTTGATCATAGTTCCACCCCTGAGCCTCAGGACCAAATGGAGTGTCGACTCCTTCTGAATGTTGTAATCAGCTAATGTTCTCCCATCCTCCAATTGCTTACCAGCAAAAATCAGCCTCTGCTGGTCAGGCGGAATGCCCTCCTTGTCCTGAAATATATAAGGCAGTAGAGAACCTGCCGAGTTAGAATGGTATTCCTTAACCCATCTTTCAATCAGTGTTGCTTAGAATTTATGATCACAAGTTTTGGAATGTGAGTCAGATTTAAGTGCACTTGGACCAAAAAAAAAGGTAGAGGAAAAATGGTCAAACATGGACAAAGGCATGGAATACAAATATTGAACATGGACAGGTATTAGAAAACAAGTATTACTTGAACATGGACAATGTTGTTCAAAGCTAACTCAGATAGAGGTGTTTGACTATGAAATTCTTTTGTGCACCGAAAATGACTCAAGAGTAAGCTTTTATTTCCTAAAATGTGACTGAGAATCTGAGTAACACTGCACTAAGCAGCATCAAGGAAACCTTTTCAACTTAAAATCTAATCATGCAAAGCCTAGCATGGGAAAATAAACCTGCCATTCAGCACTGGGGTTACAGGTAAGATCATAAAGTCATGTTTGACATTGTCACTGCCAGCAAAAAAAAAACATATATCAAATGAAGTATTTATTACGATAATAGATGGTTTCCAATCATGACGCAATTATTTGGCATGATAACTATAGAGGCTGAGGCCATTGCCAACATGTCAAAGCCATATACTGATAATCTGTATTAGTAATGATGTCAACTCTTTACATCCCTTGTTATGAAAAGAAATTCCTATGCCAGGTGCTTGCGGAAAATTTGCATCTTGCCTAACCACATAACAGAGGGGCTGTCACAGTTTGATAGGCAATAAATTTCCTAGATTTACTTGTTCATTCATCACAACAAACAAGACTTAGAGGCGACAGGCGAAGATATGAAGACACGACACCAAAACCACAGTACTTAGTAGCGGAAACCATCATATGCGCCCAGGAGAATCTCCATACTGCAGCCAGCAGTCACTACCCCAGATGTTTTGTTTTATAAGAAAATCCCAAGATCCTTTCCCCCCAGTGGGCAAGAACCGCACTAAAAACCCTACCAAATCGGCACACGGCAATCAACAAGGCTACTCCGGTGTTATTATCAATCACGAAGGACACAATTCCGCTACGAATCGGGAGTCGTGGGGGTGGAGGGAGGGGGACGAGATGGCGGACCTGGATCTTGGCCTTGACATTGTCGATGGTGTCGCTGCTCTCGACCTCGAGCGTGATGGTCTTCCCCGTCAGCGTCTTGACGAAGATCTGCATCTCGCCGGCTATACGACCCGCGATCTGGAGCTAGGGTTTTACGGCGGCTTCCCTCGCGACGAAGTCGCCGCAGCAAAGCCCGAACCGAACGAGGCTCTTGCGGAATCAACAAGACGATGATGATGATTGAGGAGGCCGGGAGGCGTGGCTGTTTTGCATATATGCACCCGGGGGTGCTCGTATTCGCGTCGAGGTCCGCCGCGTGGGGTGCCGGCCCAGTAGCATGTCCGATTCAGTGGAGGGCCCTTTCAGCTGTGGTGGGCGCGTGGATGCGGGACGTAGTGGACCAGCTCTTTTGGGCCTTATATGGCCTGGACTGTCTGGGAAATGCTTCGACGGCCCACGGGATCTAAAAATTGTTCAGAATACTTTTTTTTTTAAATAGAACAGAATTACTAGCACTCGGGATAGATAGACGGACAAAATTGAATTCAATGCACCTACAGTCCTACTCCTACTCATATCCGGTCCATACGAGGATGAGATGAACTGATGAAGTGGCAGTCGAGATGCTCAAGGGATCAAGAATATGCTTGGCCTTAGCGTGAAGACGTGAACTCTGGAGTCTCCGTAAAGTGGAAACCCGTCACGTTTGAACGGAGAGAAAAAAAATCTGGAGGACCAAACGAGGCGGCATCTTCGGTCACGGATCCACCCATGGGCCATGTCCAATTAAAAGTCAACCAATGCAGCCGCCGCCCTGCGCGTTGACCCGTTCCCACCTGCTGGATCTTTCCCTCCATCTCATCTGATGATGTGAATGCGAGGCATGCCTCCTGTCCTTCTTAGGTTGGCATTTGGCACTTGGCAGGTGCAATTCTCGTCCCATTTTATAATATGCTTATGGTAAAATAGTTGTTTTGGTCATTGAACTATTGCTCGAGCCTCAATTTTATCTCTGAATTTTTAAAACGATCATTTTTAGTCCTCAAACTTTACTTTTATAGCATGTTCGATTGTTGGTTTCAGTTAGGCCTTATCAGCCAGTCAATAGTGTTTTCCTCTAACAATAAATCAGCACCAGCCGAGTTTATCAAACCCAGAAACCAACTAATGAACAGGCTCTTAGGCTCAATTTCATCTACAACTACGAAAGTGATCGTTTCAATCCTCAAATTTTGCATTTTAGGTTCACTTTCATCCAAAGACTATCAAAAGTGCATTTCGGTCTTTAAACTTTTATTTTCAACTCAACTTTGTCTATCAAACAGAAAACTTTTATATTTTAGGCACAATTTCATCCATAAATTATCAAAATGTATTTTGGCTCAACTTCGTCCATCCATAAATTATCAAAATGCATTTTGGCTCAACTTCGTCCATTGTGCACCACCACCTACGATTTGAGATCGATGGACATTCATTGTTAGGTGCTACTGTTGTCTGTCCCAACTACCAAATTAGATAGTACATTTTCAACATTTATATTCATAATATTCTAAGATGAATATAAATATTGATCTAAATCTTCTTAAATGTAAATTATTTTTAGCCTATGGATAATATTTTATACACAAATGATTATTAGTTGAGCTTAGCTATAGAATTAGCTAAGGAAAAATTATAGATCTGCTATTGTTTTAATTTATCCATGTTTCTCAAGAAATAAATAGGGTCCAAAGCAACTGTAACTCCACACAAAAATCGTTTAGTTGGTAGACAGTACCATTATAAGGTAACATTGAAAATAATAGTTTGGAATTATTAATGGCCGCCGAAGAGTTTTTGAATGAATATTGCTTTTTCTATCCCCAATAGTTGGTGGTGTTGGAGCTGACCAGGCGCAACAGTGCAACATTCCATGTAAGACGATAGGCAAAGTTGAGTTGAAAATAAAAGTTTAAAGATCGAAATACACTTTGATAGTTTAAGGATGGAATTGAGCACAAAATGCAAAGTTTGAGGACTAAAACGATCGTCTTCACAGTTTTGGGTCGAAACTGGGCCTAAAAATAGAGTTTGAGGACTATAACGATCATTTTGAAAATTGAAGGATGAAACTAAGCCTCGAGCAATAGTTCAGAACCAAAACGACTATTCTGTCTATGCTCATCCACAAGGACTTGGCAGATGATAGTAACAAAGGGCAAGGCAGAAGCAGCACGGGCGACATGCATGCGTCTCTGTTCGCTTGGCTTATAAATTATATTTTTTCAGCTAATAAATAATATTTTTCTCTTATAATAAATCCGTTAACAATACTTTTAGTTATGGTTTATCGGCCGAACGAAGAGAGCAATGATTATTGATCACTTTAACAGCTGACCCTCCAACTCGAGTTCAGTTCCACAGTTAACGGTTTCACGCTACACACTTCAGAGTTGAGAGAACTGACACGAGCCATGCCTTCCTCCCCCCACCACCGCCGGCGGCTCCTCCTCCTCCTCCCCCTACTCGTCGCTGCCGCCGCGCTGTGGGGGGCGCCGGCGGCGGTCACCGGCGCGGACACCTGCAAGGCGTGGTTGGTGCAGTCCATCCCCACCGACATGCCGCACCTGCGCCGCGTCCCCGGGGTCCTCTCCACCGGTTCGTATATCCCACACCCACTCTCTCTGCCTCACCTCACTTGAGCGTCTTCGTGGTGAGGAGCCGTGCATATACACGGTGGATGGTGCGTCTATGGGGGGTATTGCCAGTTTGGGGATTAGGTGTAGGCGCCGCATATGCTGAATGTGTCGAGAATGCCGCCGCGCCTTTGAGGCTTTCGTTTTGGTTAGCTCCATTTCTGGCTATGTGAGGTAACCCATTTCAGTTGGCTAGGTGATGTGGACTGCTTAAGAATCTATGGATGGAAGATTTACATTCTTACTATTGCTCTGTATCAGCCTCGCTGTGAGCAATTCGGATATTGCTCTGCTGACAGAGTAATTGGGGGTACATATGGCGTGTCCGGGTTACTAGTTAGAAAATATGTACATTCTTGGAAATATGACAACTCCTTTTGATTTTATATGAAGGTTTTTGTTGTGCATTCTGTAGTTCGGCTGAAGAGCAGTGCATTGAACTATTGATCCCCCTTCAGTTTAGGTTTCTTTTTTTTTCTCTCTAAACTGCAGTTAAGTTTCAGTAAAGCTGTAACTAGATTTGGAATACAAACACGATTAGGAACTTTTATTGGTGATAAGTGATATAGCTGGTGATGCTGATAGGGGGTTTGTGAAATTACTAATGGTTCTTTCAGTCACTACATATTCACAGTGCTGTTTATTTCTGTTCTTTCTGTGGGTTATCAGGAGATGTACTTCAGTGGCTCTCGGGGAATGCAACGAAGAGTCTGGACATCCTTGCACAGTACTGGCAGTTCTTGTCTCAGCCAAACAATCCGAAATCAGGGGATTATGGATTCTCCGAGAATGACATGAAGAGATTTGGGGCTGATGAGGGCCGCCTGGTTTACAAGGCATTGGAAAATGCTGCAGACCGGAAGATCAAAATCAGGCAAGTATGAGTATGATACTTGAATTATCAGTTTGTATAATGTCAGTGATTACTTAGTCATAGGATGATTGAAGGAGGAGTAGAGTATGTCGCCCTAAAAATATGGAATATTGACATAGCTACCTGCCAAGAGCAAAACTGGTGTCACAATTGAATCTCGAAGAAGTGATAAAGCAAATGAACAAAACATTTATAATAATTAAACAGTGTGCGTTAAGCTCTGCAGAGATGGTGAGCGTGAAGAAAGGAATGGAGAGATTTAATTTCTCTATTAACAATTGTAGTATCATTACAGGATTGTCCAACACTCTGGAGTTGCTCCTGATTTTGATCAAGAGAGCGCCGATCTGGCCACAGGAAGACCAAATGTTGAGAATGTAACCATTCTTTTTGAGGATTGGTGGGGATCTGGTGTTGTGCATGCAAAGGTCTGGATATCAGATGAAAATGATGTGTATATAGGGTCAGCAAACAATGATTGGAAATCCCTTACTCAGGTATATCTGACAAAAAACGAGTTCTGTTACATTTGCAATATAGTGCTGAGAAAGCAAATTGGTTAACCTGTGTGGCACTACTTTTACGTGCATTGCAGGTCAAGGAGCTTGGGATTTATTTTGCTAATTGTCCACAAATAGCAAAAACTGTGGAAGTCTATTTTCAAAATCTTTGGACACTTTCAACCCTCAACTCAACTTCTTACACCAAACAAGCCTGGGATAAGCAGTGGCAAGTTTCTAGAAAGGTTCCATGTTGGTCTCATTTCCTACAGCCAAAAGAAAGATGCAGGTTTGCATCTCCCTCTGTAGTTTGCACCTTTACTACTTAGCACACAAATTTGAAGGAAAAAAATGGCTCTTACATAAATGGGAATAGATTATGTACAGTTTATCTGTTAGGCTATCTTGTCTGCATTTGTCTTAATTTTGATCCAGCTTCGATTCTGAAAATGTTCGGTACATACTATCCTTTATACCTTTGTCATTCTTCTTTATAATGATTCAATAGCTGCTAATTACTTATTAAATCCTGTCTTGTGGTTTTGTCAAGTGCTCTAATAGTATTAGGCAAAGTATTTTTCTTTTAGACTTTTTCGTTAGATCAAATAATAGAGATTTATTCTTAATCTGCGAACAGGTCACCCATACCACTTTCAGTTGACATCCCATATGTAGATGGATATCCAGCTCTTGCAAATCCTGACATGATTGATGTTTCATTTGAAACCCCTGGGTACAAGAAATCTACTCAGGAGCACTACTTGAGCTACCTTTCCTTTGCGCCACCTGAGGTAACTTTGTAGCACATTATAGACATCTAGGTATTGCTAGGTCGTAGTCTTCAGTGAATGGATGCTTTAGTAAACTAACTTTTAGTATAAACTTATAATTGATATTCATGGTGATATGAAGTGCACATTCAATGAAATTTTTCAGTGCATAAGGATGCTAAGTTTTTTTTGGGGGTTTGTCTACATAATCTGGTTGACCTAAGAAAAAGTCATCTTACTGACCTTGTACTTGCACCCATCTATCAGGTTTTTATTTTAATTTGTTTGGTTCATGCTATGTCATGATAAACCTTCTCTTGAAGGACATATTTCATACATACATAAATTATCCATGTTTCACAACCTTAACCTATCTGTCGTAATTTATTCCGTAAACATAGAATTAAGACATGCAATTAAATAAAACATAACTGGTCCGAGGACTAATCTAGTAAGTAGTAAATTTCAGGATTGGTTTCATCTTTTCTTGTTTCACAGATGACATTTGGCAAGTTCCAAGCAGACGAGCAGGGTTGGGTTGACACTATTAAGTCTGTTAAGTTTGGGGGAATTGTACGAATGAATACCATGGATTGGCTTGGGCAGTCACAGTATTCTACTCCAACAGTCTACTGGTCATCTTTATCGTCAACGATCTCAGAGGTATTTACAATTGGATTGGATCCAACATGTTGATTCTGGCAAAAATCCAGACTCACTCTCTTTTCTTAAGGTTTTTCTTCAATTGACCTCTAATTAGCAACAAGGCAGTGATCTGACCAAGGGTAAATTGATTCTTGGCAGGTAGTATTCTCAAAGAATGCGACCGTGAGGCTACTTGTTGCCTACTGGGCACATTTCATCCCAAACACCGAAAAGTACCTGAAGAGCCTTCTATACTCCAACATTCTCTGTGCATCTTCGACATACAACCATTGCGGTGGCAAGGTTGAGATCAAATACTACGTGGTTCCTGGGTACAACGAGACCGGACCTGCATTGTCCCAAGGTGGCACCGCGACGGGGAACCGTTACCCTGGCTTCACCAGGGTGAACCATGGTAAGTACGCTGTCAGCGACGTGAGGGCGAACATCGGCACCAGCAACCTCGTCTGGGGTTACTTCTACACCACGGCTGGAGTCAGCTTCGGAACGTACAACCCCAACATTGTCACGCAGCTGCAGGATATCTTTGATGCAGATTGGTATTCTCCGTATACCGTGCCCGTTGAACCGCTGGAAGAGTCTGTGTAGGATCAGCTGAGTCCAATCCTTTTTCGCCCCCTACCACACACACACACACACACAGCCAAGCATCATTGTGTTGCGAAAATTGTTTTCTTCTGAGAATAAGCCATCCCACTGGCAATTGATTCCCAAATGTATAACTGTAAATACTTTCCACTGAAATTAAAAACTATACAGTCACTTTTGAGGATTACTTGTTGATCAGGTGAAGCCGCATTCAAGAATCTGGAAACAAAATTGTGAACAAGTATATATATAGAAAAGGTTTTTACAACAGTTTACATATTACAAAGAGAGCTTAGGGTGCTCAAGGCACAGAGAAAGAGATGAAAAAAAATTAAAGTAGAAACAAGAGCTACGAGAGGGTTTGTATCCATGATTGAAGAGCTGGTAAGAACTTTCTTTTGGCTCTGAGTGACAACAAGTTTCGCTCATCAATGAAGACTCTTCTGCAATTGCTTAATACTTGTTTTCCTCTGAAAATTACGTCGTTTCTCACTGCCTAGATACTCCAACACAATTAAGATGAAGATCTCGAGGAAGAAGGGGGCAAAGAAGTGCTGTTTGAAGCCTTCAATTAGCAGGGGTAGGGGTTGATTTGTCTGGAAAGTAAAGTTCAGAATACCCCCAACAGGTTTTGTTTTTGCAAATGTGCAGTCTTGGAAAAGATGTTGAGCTGTTTCTTCTGCATTGCCTGGGCAGAGGACACGATTAAGATTCTCCAATTTCAAGTTCTTGCTTCTCAACATGTTCCTGGTGCATAATCTATCCTTCAATAGCAGCCCAAACGAACACTCTGCGCTTGCACTGGCAAGAGGTTTTCCAGAGCCATTTGAAGGCAGGGTGGATAGTATCATGTCCAATGAAAACTTTGGATGTCTTTGAGGAAGAAAACGTGGTGGATCCCCAGATGAATGTCATTAAAGAGTTTCTGCGTCCGGAGAAAAGCAACTTTTGAAACTGGAATGTTGAAGAATTCAGAAGAAGAGGCTGAATTCTTAGTCCTTGCAACTGACAAATCTGTACGTTTTGCAAATGAATGGAGTCCTTGGTATTGTAACCAATGGCCACGCTCCCCAAAGGTGGTTAGTTCGTCGCATGCTATCGCGCCGCCCCTGTTCAATGCTTTCCCCTGTCCGTTGGCAGCTCGGCGTCGATTCGCCGTGACGAACCGACGACGATGAAGAGCCATGAGGCAGGCCTCTTCATTCATGGTCCATGGAGGAAAAACAGGAAACAGACATCGTTTTCCTGGAGGCGCCGCGAAGATGTCAGTCTGGCTGGCCCAGGGCTGCCCAGAGCAGTCGCGATCTCAGGTGACGCGACACTGACAGCTGAAGCAGCCAACGCGGGCCTGCTCGTCCCCGGCCTGATTAACGCCGAGCAGCTCCAGTGTTCCTCCGAACCGAACCGTGGTCCTTGCTGGACGTTCGGTCACCGAACCAACGACACTGCGGACATCGAACCGAGGCAGGCGACGGAAAAATCGGATACTGCAGACGGTGCGAACCGTGCTGGCGTTCAGCCTATTAAAATATTGTAATCAATCGGTGTTAGACAGTGCACAGGTCTCTAGCCTAAAGTTGAGTCTCCGTCGTATCATATGTTGGACACATACGTACTAAATATAGACTTAAAAAATAATTAATTATATAGATTATGACTACTTTACGAGATGGATTTTTAAAAACTAATTAGTCCAATGATTTGATAACTTGGTGCTACGATAACATATATGCTAATAATAAATTAATTAGACTTAATAAATTTATATCCTAGATTTATGAGGACTTCTATAGTTTATTTATTACTCCTATCAAACGCCCTCGTATAACAACTGATATGACACATAGGGCATGGATTTAAACGCCACCAGTCCGGCTTAGGTACGTGGGCCGGTTGTTGTGCTTTTGCACTGTGACTCCGTGAGCTCCCGCAGTCACGTCAGCTGCTGTGGGTTCGGTGATGATGTGGAAGACGGGCGGCGTGTAGGAACGCGCTCGCTCGCTGTCCCTGCCGTCCATGCTTGCGTTGCGTTCGTGTGCTTGGGCAGTTGGGTCGGGATGGTCGTACGTAGCGTAGTACGATGGATTAGTGTCGTGAATCGTGAGTCATGAGTCATGACTCGCTTCAGGCTTAATGAACAAACCCATTATCAATAAATCAATTTCTGGGAAGGCGGCATCTCCATCGCATAGCGAAGTCTCTGTTGGCGGCGATCAGTCGTTAGTGGTCCGGTGGCATGCCTCTGAATATCACGTCATGTCCATGTTTCCATAATTCCCTGCATATGTGGAGGATTAGGGATGAGAATACCGGCTTAGGCATGTCCACTGGGGCAGCGGTCCCCCAAAGGTTCTGAACTGCATATGTGGAGGATCAGGGATGAGAATACCGGCTTAGGCATGTCCACTGGGGCAGCGGTCTCCCAAAGGTTCTGAACTGCAGCTATGCTCTCTGGTTGTCAACCAATTCTTCGCCAAAATTCCTTTTGCAAATGGACATCCTGAGATATGATAATGTGGTCTGCTGTCTCAGAGTCCATATTACAAATGGCATAGAGGTCCTCCCGGAGGATCTTTTCTGCATTAGGTTACTCTCGCAATTGATCATGTTCTTTGTGATTAACCACCCAAAGAATTTGACACGGGGGAGAGCAAAGTTTTTCCTTACAAACTGATAGGTAGGACAAGTTTCGTCGCCCTTCATTGAAGCTATGTAGATCATCCCTGACAGAAAGGCGTTGGTTGCTGCCGACGAAGAAGCATGATCTATCATCAAAATATTAGTATTTTATTTTAAATATGTACATACGGTTAGATTTGAGATTGTTTGATGACTATTCAAAAATATGAGATTGAGATGTGTATTTATTTTTAGGATTTTGGATTGAAAATCAACAGGAGGTGTCGGTACATGCTGAATACTCCTAGTCCTTATCTTGGAATTATCGTACAATCCAGTCCGGACGCGTGGTCCACGGCACGGAAAAGAAGAGGCAGACGCCGTGCAGCAGACTGCCGAACGGAACCGGCGGAAGGCTCGAGAAACGGGGTTCCGTTCCGGCACCGTCCGCAGGTCACGGGAAACGGGAGCGGGCGCTAGCGCTAGCTTTCTCCACGTCTCTCTTTCTCTCTCTTTGCGCTGCGCCACGCCCACTGCACCGTCCGTGGCCGCGCGCCCGCCCCGTACTCCCGTATGGGCCCCCGGCTTCATCGAACTGGTCCGACCACGTCGGCCTCACTGGCCACGCGGGGAATAGGCCCACGGGCAACGGACAACTGCACGAGGCTTCGGCCTGGACCACCGCCCACCCGCCCGCAGGTAACCGCCGGCAAGCAACGCATCACTATTTCACTGTAGATGAAACAGTAAATATTATTTAGAGCACGTCTAATAATACAGCCGGCTCGCAGCTTTCTCTCCGTCTCTTTGCTATAAATGTATGGCCCATTTATCTCTTTCATATAGTTTCTTGTTCTTGTGCTAAGAATGTTGTAAGATTATAGCCTATTTCTCTTCTCTTTTTTTCTCTCTTCCACCTTAGTATTTAACCAGTTTTATAGTCTGTTATTATACTTGCTCTTAGAACGTACCCACCTGACGGGGATGGTGTATTTTACATCCGCTCAGCCCTGTTCGTTTCGCTGAAATTTGGCTTATGCTGATTTTTGTTAGAGAAAAATATTGTTCATTCACTAAAAAATACGGTTGAAGTAGTTCAAGCGAACAGGATTATGTCAGATTACACGAATCCACACAGCCATGACGAAGGAGACGCAGTTAAACAAACACACCTAATACAAGATTTGAGACTTACATACTCCATCCATCCCATAAAAATAGTCATTATAAAATTCGTTCGGGTCAAACTTTTTTAAATTTAACTAGGTTTGTAGAAATTATTAGCAACATTTATATTTTTAAATAAGTTTATTATAAAAATTAAATAAGTTTATTATGAAAATATATTCAAATGGTACTAATTATGTACCAAAAATATTAAAATTTTCTTATATATATTTAGTTAAATTTGAAAATGTTTGATTCTTCGGGAAGTAAGAATTATATTTTTTATGGGACGGAGGAATATGCACAAATACACTCACCCTTATGAATGTACGCACACACATCCTATTCCAGTGATCATTTTTAAAAGACTAAGCTGGTAGATCTTAAAATTAACGAATCATCCTAGACATCTTATTGTCAACGGGTGCAACATCTATCATTGAAATAGCAAATGTTATTAAATTCTAGAATAGTTTAGGAAAAATGCAACCAAACCAATTTAAAGGCATAAACTATGATGGATAGTTTTCACCGTAAGGATGCTAAGGAGTTAAGTTCCTCTTAGTTCACGGCAATTTCATTACTCGATGGTGCCACAAAACTTTGATTGATGACATGTTGTGGTTCACTTGTTCCTATCTCGTCGTCTTATGAACGAAAATTTAGCTGATAATACTCTCTTCTTGGTTACGACCACTAATTTTGGTTTAAGAAATTTTAAAAGACGACCAATAATAAATAGACATACCTTGTTTGGATGCATATATATGTATCTCAATTCATATGTGTTAAAGTACATTGTGATGAAATATAAATTAAATTTCACTCTAATATATATGGATTAAGTTAGATACATGCGTGTCCAAACAAACCCTAAACCCTGACAACGATGGCCCCGTTTGTTTCGCTGAAAAAACAAATCAAAACACTATTCCTGTTAATTTGTTGTGAGAGAAAAACACTGTCTCAGCTAAAAAAACGAGTTGAAAAAGACGGTCAGCAGGGAAGCCAACAGGGCCGATGCACGGTACATGTGGGAAACCATTTCCCTCGTGTATAATCACCAAGAAATTAAATCAGCCGGCCGTTATACAGTATTTTGACAAATGTATAAAACAGGTGGGCCATCTCGGAAAAGTACACCATCAGACAGCAAGAAGCTACCGGGCCCACATTCAGCGGTCCAGGGTACAGATACAACCAAACTCTTCTCCCCCACAAAAGTTAAAAACTTTCGCAACATACCCCCTCCGAAAATAAAACAGGTGTGTCCCCGCTAGCTGCTAGCGAGCTAGTGCAGTGTCCCCCTCAACCTCTCCGCCAACTGCTTCGCCCCTCCTCTCTCCTTGGATTCTACTCCTCCCTCGTCCTCGGAACAGTTGCTGCAGCAGCTCCAGTCCCCCCCTGCGCCTCTCCCCTGCCCCGCCCCTCCGCCGCCTAGGGCTTCCAAATCCCCTCAGCTTCCCTGGATTTCGCTTTCCCCCGGCGTTGTACGGCCCCGGGAGGTTCTAATCTCCTTTGAGCGCCGGCCACCCGCCGTGGCCGTGTCTTGGTGTTTACCCGGTTCCTGCGCTCCTCCGTGCAATGCCGGGCCTAAGCGCGACTGGGGTTAGGGTTCTTGGCCCGCAGCTCGCTTCAATTTGAATATTTTTTTTGAGGTTTTTAGGGAGGGAAAAGAGTCCGGATTTGGAGGAGTTCTTGGTTGCGTGCTTGTCTCCGCGGAGGGGAATCTTTTATGTTCGTGGAGGGGGGGTTTTAGCTTGACTAGGCGGGTAATTTTCTACGGCCGTTTGGAATTCTTTGCTCGGTTCTTGAGGAGCGTCGAGTGGAAAACCCGGTAAAATTTGAATTTTTGGGCGGTAAAAACCTGCGGGCTAGGCTGTAGTGGTTTCCATGGCCAGGGCACCGAGGGTCCGGTCCCTGAACATCGCGGTTCCGGAGGCAGAGGCGAGGCCGGTGCTGGTACCGGGGGGCAACAAGGCCAGGTTGGGCCCGGCGAACGCCCGGAAACCGTCGCCGAAGCCCCTGAGGAAGGCGGCGGTGGGGACGCCAAAGAAGCCTGCGGCTGCCGCATCCAAGGCGGAGGAGGGCGCAAAGAGGAATGCAGTCAGCGGGGGCGGAGGTGGCGCGCCCAAGGGTGCGTCCCCTGTGTGTCGTCGCCGCGGCGCACACCGCCTGGGCCGCCGTCGAGGAGGAGCGACGCGCCGCAGCTCTTGCATCCGGGCTTGCCGCTCAGCGCGTCGTCTTGCTCCTCGGATGCCTCCGCGGAGTCGGTCCGCGTCCGGGCTTTCACTGGGAAAGTGGAGAAGGGCTGGTCGGGGCCGACGGCTGCGTCGAAGCAAGGCAAGGCTGTGGGTAAGGCGGCAGAGAGCAAGCCCGTCGTGGTGGAGTTTGTTGTTTCGGTGACACCAGAGGTTGTGGAAGGGAAGAGGAGGTGCGTGTGGGCGACTCCAACCACTGGTGAGCTTCTCTCTTCTGGAACTTGTTCTTTGCCAAAATCTTAGTTTGCTGTAAGAATTATTCTTCTTTCTTTTCTTCAGAAGAAGAATACAATTCTTGTTTCTTGATGTTTTGGTTACTGACTATATTTTAGAGTGCGTAACTTATGCCTGTTCGAATTATTGGCTAATCAATCCATTCATGTGTCACAATTCATTATAACTTATACATTCTAGCATCCTTAACCAGGCACTTTTTATCACAGTTGTTCATATGATGTAGACATGTAGTAAAGCTATGCGAAACCCACAGGTTAATTTAGAATATATTCCCTTCTAGCCTTTCCTCAAGATCAGCATGCTACTGAGTTGCTAACTGGAATGATGATATATCGTCTACTCCGTTAATAGCTTGTTAAACTCTAGCTGTTCTTGTTTGTCATGGGGTTGGATATTGGAACCATTTGAGATGGTAATTCTGCCTACATTAGATCTCTTGCAATTCCTCCTTTAGGTTGCCTATAAAGTGTAAAGAGCATATTCTCCTTTTTTTGTTTCCCTTTTGTTTTTATTTCCTTCATTCAACAGATTGGTTAGTCTCTTGCAATTTCACATCAACATCTGTAATTGACTATAGTTGCATATATAATTAACATTAGATATGCAATTTCATCTGAAGGATTGCCTTGTCATTGACACTTCCACAGAGTTACATATGTAATTAGCTATAATATATAGTTTTGACTCATCAACTAAATACCAGCCCGTTATATCAATCTATGCTATTATGTACCATGTGCCCTTTGATTTTGATCCTGCTGCAGCAACCCACTGTAATTGCTTGAAACCATAAATTTGGTAAAAGGAATGGTTACATTACAACCTGAAAATAACACACTAGTAGTTTTAATAGCTCCATCTATACCTCCAATAAAACCAAACACCCAAAGCTTGAGGTACAGCTTTATTTGACAGCATCACATGCTATGGTTATCCTGTGCCTTTTTCTAGGCCTTACTGATGAAGTGTTTCTTAAGTTACGCATTTTTACGAACAAAGCTGATTTGTCATGTTTTCTACTGACCAGATCCTTGCTATGTCACTTTCCATGATGAGGAGTGGGGGGTTCCCGTGCACAATGACAGGTATGCAAAACTGAAAATTGCAAAATTCATCTTTGCTATTTATCTTCTGTGAATAGGAATCAGACCGCCCAAGGATATTTGACCATGGTCATTCTACAGGAGATTGTTTGAGCTACTTGTACTATCTGGTGCATTGGCTGAGCTTACATGGCCTGAAATTCTCAAGAGGAGGCAACTTTTCAGGTATAGGTCTTGCAATATTGAAAATAAGGCCCCTTTGGAATGCGGGATTGTTTCATGTTTTCTGTGTTTTTACTGTGAAAATAAACTGAATCCTGTGAAGTTCCTACATGATTCTTGTGTTCCAAAGGGGCCCTAAATAAAATTACTCTGCATGGTTTATTTTGTAAGATCCATGCTGAATCTTCCAGGGAAATTTTCATGGAGTTCGACCTTGCTGCTGTCTCTAAAATAAATGAGAAGAAGCTTGTGGCACCTGGAAGCACTGCCCATTCTCTTTTGTCAGAGCAAAAGCTCCGAGCTGTCCTTGAGAATGCTCGCCAGATACTAAAGGTTGGTAGTGCCTGCTTGATATACCTCCAATTTGGTACTTCCGTTGGTGTGGTTTTTTGCCTGGAACTATAAGTTTGTGCAAACTGATGCAGATTGTTGATGAATTTGGATCCTTTGATCGGTACTGCTGGGGTTTTCTGAACCACAAGCCTATAGTGAGCAAGTTCCGATATCCAAGACAAGTTCCTGTCAAGAGCCCGAAGGCAGATACAATCAGCAAAGACATGATGAGAAGGGGATTCCGAGGTGTGGGCCCAACGGTCATATATTCCTTCATGCAGGCTGCAGGTCTAACAAATGATCACCTGGTCAGTTGCTTCCGGTTCGAACAATGCAATGCCATTCCAACTCTTTGCACGAGTAACATTGACAGGGTAAACATGAAGGCAGATCCGAAAAAAGATGAGATGACAACGAAGATTTATTGTGAAGAGATTACCACAAACCCAGAGATGCCAAGGACGATTGATGCTCTTATCGTTTCGTAGCACCATGTGGAAATTGGTATAGCAACGTGGCTACTGAACTTGTGTTATCTCTATGTAGACAGTGTGTTAGGTTATCCTTGAATTGAGGTCAGGAATCAAAATGCTTTTGTAAAAATCATTTCTGTTGCTAATGCTTACTCTTTGTAAATTGAATGGTTAGGGAAGCTAAGTATGATGACCTTTTCTTACTGATCCAGAAACTGTGAAATTATTGCTGTCAATCATCCAGCAGTTTTCTCCTGGTCACTGCTGTTTATCAGAAAGATTTCCTTGGCATATTATGATTTGAGGTCGCATTCATCATAACTGGATTCCCTGCGGCTGCTTGCTGCAGGGCTCATTTAAGCAGGTGACCAGAGATTACTGCTATGGGATTAATTTCTTGGGGGCTCAGGAACCTAACCATGGAGTCAGTTATGCATGACTACCGGATGCCTTCTTGTGAGGAGTGAGGACAACAGTCTCACTCTCACAAGGCTCGGAGGTCGATCTGCTTCATGCCAAAGATCTATGCTATTTATTCATTTTTAAAACAAGAAAGATTCACTTCTGCATAATTCAGAAGTAAACAAGCTGAGATTCTGGACTCTGGAGCAGTTTTTTTTTTTAAATAGATATAGAACATACTAGGTCACAAGCTGAGATTCTGGACTCTGGAGCATAGGTTTGCTTTTCAAAAAAATCTGGAACATAGATCACAAGGGGCCTACAGTGAAAACTGTCAGTTCAGCTTGTACATTGCTCTGTGCTGTCGTTTGTATGAAGTGTAGTTATCCTGCCAATGTTTAGGCAGACAGATCGAGGCAACACGAATTACTATTATAACACTTGTATTTCAGTTTGCAATAGCATGCTCATGACTAATGCTACATCCGTTTTGGAAAGAATGCAATTATAGGTTGCATACCACGAAAAGTGGTTCACGTTTAATTAAGTTTATAGTAAATAATATTCATAGTTATATCTTTAAATTAATTTATTATAAAAATACATTTCGTAATTAATCCAATAGTATTTATTTAGTATCGTAAGCATGGATTTTTTTTATCTATAATTGGTCAAACTTAAGGTACTAAAACATGACACTGTGCTAGAATTGCATTTTTTTACGGATGGAGGTAGTACTATACTTCATTTAATTTAATCTTTAGTTATTTTTATGATTGAATAAACGTGACACTATGCTATAATTGTTGAGATGTTGTCATGGACATATATTAATTAATTACCTATCTCGTGGGTTAACGTTGAGTGCTGTTGAATATTTGTGTCAAGGTATTTTAGGACGCGTTTAGATGCAAAAATTTTTAGGTTTTAGCCACTGTATCACTTTTGTTTGTATTTGGCAATTAGTGTCTAATTATGGACTAATTAGGTTTAAAAGTTTCGTCTCGCGATTTCTCACCCAACTGTGCAATTAATTTTTTTTCGTCTACATTTAGTACTCCATGCATGTGCCGTAAGATTCGATGTGATGGGTACTGCGCAAAAATTTTTGGGAACTAAACAGGACCTTATTTGTGTAACAAATATGAACAAAACATGTGTCCTGTATTAAAAAAACTATGGCCCCGTTAAACTTTGAAAAAATTTCTTTGAAAAAATTCCGAATTGTTGTAGTGCGGATTTATGAAAAAAACAAGCTGAATAATGCGGATTATAAGGTAAGCCGAACGGGACCTATATCAGACAACCCGAAGGGCAAAATAGCCCATTCCAACCAAATCCTCGATTTTGTGGATCTGGAGCTGTGGCTAGCCAAACAGTTTCTGATAGATCCATGTTAAATTCTAGATCCAGATTCACTTTTTCTAGTGGTGGAGCTGTTCCAAACAGAACCCTAGAAGATAAGAAAAAATATAGTATAATGTATTATGATTTATAAACATCTTCAAAGGCTCCTTAAAATACATGGAAAAATAGCTTTTGGCGTGGACAAAAGAAACACTTCCAACCAATAGTTCCCGATATGGACTTCCAATTCTCGGGGCGCGTTATAAACGTGTCGTGTTTTTTTTATATAAATTTGATTAAACTTAGAAAGTATGACTTTAGCCTGAAGTTGATTTATTGGAGGCAGATTTAAGTACTATTCAAATCTAATGACATGACAGGATTTGACATAACACAGGGATACAGTGAATGCACCCAACCTTTGGACATTGTCCTGGTAAGAAATACTCAAACTTATAACCTTTGCCGATTCATCTTCCAAATTTGGAAGAGAAAAGAAAAAGGATGAATATTTGCTTTCCTACGGAAAAGCGCCTCCGCCGCCCTCCCTACCCCACAACCGAGAGACACACACACACACTCACAATGCAAGAATACAGTGAAAGGAGACGTATTTTCTTTAGTCTGATATGGAGTCTCTGATATCACGAGTTGCACAACCAGACAAGTGCATTTACCGCCTAGTAAGCAGAAAGATTTGTCGTATTCATTATCCAAAATCACAGCCTCAACTATCAAAGGTGCTAGGTTGTACAAAACGTTAGCTCGCTATATTTTCTTCTAAGACCCATCATATCACAGGTGTGGAAACTCCAAAGTGGAGATTACATCTATTAATTCACTTAGCATTGAGGACAAGACTACATAGGTAAACACCCATCTTGTGTTGGAAGAAGAGGGGGGGGAGACCTCAAACGAATCCCAACCAAGAACAGTAATGGCTCTAAGAAACACAAAAAGAAAATTGAACGATTTATCAACTCTCGGACTCAACTGGAAATGACTTATCATAAATCCCCTAAATGTTTGGTTTTGCAGTATTTGCTGGAGCATTTGCAGCACAGCTGATGTCCTTACTCTTGACTGTCACTGGCTGACTATCGTTTTTCGAATCAGAAGCCTTGCCCGGAGATGCTTTATCTTTCTTCGCAACCTCCGCTTTGGTCGGTAAATCAGGGGAAGAGAGTTTCCTTTTGTCATCCACAATTTCCTCAACGACAGCCTCTAGTGTATCTAGCCTGTCTAATACCTTCGAAAGCTTTGAATCAGCATCCTTCTTGGCACATTCTTCCTCAAGCTGTTTTTGTTTCTCAGGTTCCTCGTCTTTTTTTCCTTTTCTCTTCTGCTTCCTGAAATATGACATCAACTTTCAGTAAAATTATGTTTAATGGACATGCCTTCTATATTATCATAAGAAACTTCTTTCTTAGCGGATGTACTTTTTTATGTTTGGGCATTGGCACATCTGAAAATTGGATACTTCATTTGAACTTGCTGTGGTTACAAAGTAATAATAGACCATTATATTTGATAATTAGAGCAATTTGGTTGCAAAGCCACTTGAGGTCAAAAGCAAACATGAAAAGTAAAATTTTGTTTATCAAGAATTTTAAGATCATCATTGAGTACATTTTGAGAAACAAGAAAATATGGCATTCTACAGGGAAATGATCCATAATTGGTCGAGCAAGGGAAAAACTGCAAAAAACAACGCCATTCTGCATTTATACAATTATATACCACAGTGAAAGAGAAATCCAATAAAGAATATATGGTTGCACGTTCTCCCAAGTAAATATAAGATGCAAATGCAAACAGTCTAAAATGCATCAACTAACCATTTAACTGTCCTCATAAGCAGCATGGTTGATGCATATAGGATAGACTCCATGACAGCTCTATCCAAACAGACACGACAGACATAACCAACTCAAGTATGCTTTTCAAGTGAATGACAATGGGTTAACCGGGATCAGTGTTTTTCTCAATAAATAAAATTCCCGAACAGGCTGATTATTACCAAACAAATAACCTCTTTCAGTTTCAATTACTGTGGTTGCAGATAAATGCAGCAGTTAAGTAGTATTTGGTCTATGGAAACAATTCGCACCACCATATTTTGGTGAGTACAGCTGAACATGCTTTAAGTAATTCATAGTTCAGCCCTTTGTTGTCAAATATCATATTTGTTCCAAAATAGATAATTTATTCCATTAAAAATTGTTCATAAGAGGTCACAGTATATTACCCCCTCCATCCTTTTGATCTCCCTCCGTGCATATTGGGCCACTAAATAGACAGCTGCACAACAAAACAAAAGAACACAACATAAGATTCTCAAAAAGAAGAACCAAGATTCACAGTTGGCTTTCCAAAGCACGGCCAAGCATCAGAAAGGAATAGACTTTTCTCATGAAACAAACCTAGTGAGGGCATGCAGACAAAGAAGAGCTGCACAAGGTGGAAATCAAGCCTGAAATGGAACGAGAAAGACAGAAACCGGTGAAGCTTGTCACTGGAATTTGTTTCTTAATGGAAATCAACTCCAAAACCTACAATCCACGCAAATTCTACAGATTGAGTGGTACTCAGTTTGGAATGGTGGTCTAAGTTTCAGACATCTTTGATAGAAGTATCAATGTATCATGTTAGATAACTAATACATACATCCCAAAGAGAATAATCAACAGAAACTGGAAACAAGTGGGATCAAGGCTTCTTTGGAGAGGAGCAAGTGACAATTTAAATACCATGAGGTGATATGAGATGCTAGTCTTAGGTATGCTAAATAGAAGGTTCTGAATGAATGTCTTCTCATTAAATGGATCTGGAGAATTGAAAGTAATTTTCAACACACATGGTATCAGTTGCTTTTTTTCTCAAATACGCAAGAGAGTTGATATCATTGCATTAAGAAGAATAAATCAGAGAATACAATGCACCCAAGATTCACACCTCCACCCCTCGTACCAAGATTTTTTTTAAAAAAAAAAGAAAACTCGACCCTAGGGGGAAAGACCTCCCGCGAGGCATTATAGTTAAGGTAGAAATTTTCTCGAACTGCAGGGTTGAGAAAAGCCCTGAAAACTAGCTGCCCAGGACACGCCTACAGCACACGCCTGCAGAACGTGTATATCTGAAGACAGTTACACAACAAGGGGCCTTTTCTTCGTGCAAGCCAGGGCTCAAACCCTGACCAGCAGCCTACCGACTAGAAGTCCTACCGCTGCGCTATCACTGAGTTTGCCACACCCCTCATACAGAAAATTCACATTTGTGCCTTTGATGAACTAAAACGACCCAACCAAATAGAACTGCCAGCCTCCTATCTAGCAATAACCTCTAGGTGAGCCAGATCCCAGGCAACCGCTAGGCACAAGTTGTATACTGGGACTGGGAGCAACTCCATTAAAGACAGCATCATTACAATGCTTCCACAAGGCCAAGCAGCCAAAGTCATCAATGAATTTAGGCCTCCCTTGATGTTGCCAGGGCCAAAACAAGTATTATCAACCACCATTCCCATAAGATTTTTTTCATCAGGGAATGGTGATAAATCAGATAGTCCATATAAACAGAAGAGGAGGAACCACACTTGTCTTGCAAATACACAGACACAAAGGATGTGTTGGATTGTCATGTTCTCCTGGCCACATAGGGGGCAGTGAGCAGGGTGAGGCAAACCCCTACTGGCAAAAGTCCATCGGACGCCCAACATCTGTTATGCATTGTAAGCTAATCTTATGAAGGGACAGTGAGCAGGGTATCAGTTGCTGAGGAACAAATACATGACAAATCGGGGCTCATTTTAGACATTGATCCTTATGGAGGGCCCATTTCTCGGTGGGGCTGTATCCCATATCTTGTTTGAAAAAGGGGTATCATATATTGTTCACAATAGCAGGTAGACAAGATCTTTGACTGATATTTGGACACATGATCTCTCTATTACAACCTTATTCTCCTTTGTCTTCTCAACTTGCAGGGATCAATTCACAAAACTAGTTCACTTTTACAAGGAGGGGAATGAGAGATTGGGTTCTGGAGACATTTTGTCCAAAATAAATCTTCAGACAGTGGGAACTACTTAATATGTTGAACTAAGTACCATATTATTAGCTGCGGATGGAAACAAGGGTTGAATGTGTTCAAGGAAAGTGCAGACAGTATACAAACAGGGGCCAATCTATGTATAGATACTTGACTGTGAGGAATGTTTCAAGCTACAATGCACAGAAAATTTGGAACTGCAAAATGTCCTTGGAGGTAAATATTTTCCTATGGCAAGCATTGCATGAAAAGATCCAATCAGCTGCAGAAGAGAAGGGAAAAAATAATTGGCAGTGGGGTGAATTCTGTGCTCTATGTGGCAAGCTTGAAAGTGTAAATCACGTATGTTTCATTGCTTCACAACATTCAAGTAGTCTTGCATCAAAGGAGAGTGCAACTTGGATGCAAACCCTAGGTCTCTGGAGGATATTATTCCTGACTGGATTTTCCATAAATTGGGAGTTACTTCTCTTTGGGGACAATTCAGTTTTGCAGAGGTTTTCTGGGCTATTTTGCACATCAGAAATAAAACAGGGTTAACAAATTCCCTAACAAATCTATACATGCATTTTTACTCATTTCTAGCTAATTTGGAGCGGTGGAAACTGCTTCTAGAAGGCTATTCAAAAGAGATTCCTAAATAACCTCATAGTACGTGCAAAACTAAACGACAGACTTGTGACAACTCCTCAATGCTATAATTGTCAGGGTTGTAACTTGTATCATGAAGCAAAATCAAAACAAGCTAAAACATTCCCAGCGAAATGAGACTAGTCAACTTCCATCTCATCTCGTTGCCCCTATCCTACTCCCATTCCATCTAACCTCGCCTCGAGATGTAATTGCTACCGACACTAAAAAACCCATAAACCTTACGAGAGGAGGATGGTCGTCTATTGATACTCACCCGAACTCCTTGCGCTTGGGGGGACCATGAAGAGGATGTTAGCGGCGGTCTTCCAGTCGGCGCCAGTGCTCCAATCGAAGTTTTGGACTTGCTTGTACGCCTCAGCCTGAGCCCGCGCTGCCGCCTCCGCCCGGGCCTTCGCTGCGGCCGCAGCCATCGCTGCTGCGTCGACGGGAAGATCGCTCTCGCCAGTACCAGAGGAGGAGGGGGTGCAGAGGAGGCGGCGGAGGAGGATGCCACCGGGAGCCGGCAGCGAAGCCGCAGTGCCGGAAGCATCAGGTCGAACCGTGTAGTGGAGACGTGGAGTCAGGCCCGGTCGGCAGCCTCGAGAGCTCCGACGGACCACACTATATTTTTTTTCTCGAATATGTAAATGGCTCGCGTCATTATATTAAGGAAAATAATTTTGGTTACAACGACGCGCTCCAAATCAGCGCACGCACTGAGAGGGGGGGGCAAAGTGTAAGACGTTTGACTTTTTTTTCTTCAAGTTTGACCATTCATCTTATTTAAAAAATTTGTGTAAATATAGTTAAATTTAAGTTATTCTTGAAGAATTTTTATTAATAAGCCAAACCACGATGAAAAAAATGATATTTTATACAAATTTTTGAATAAGACGAGTGGTCAAACTTGTCAAAATCTTACAATTTAAGATGAGATGGATTGAGTAACTTTCGCCCTCCTACGGACTTACGCTCACGTTACCACTCGCGTATTGGACAACCTAAGTTCTTCGCCCCTGCTTCGATCCATTGGTCCGCTAAGGCTTTGATGTGCAGTAGGATCTGCGTGACCGTCGATGAAGCTTGGCGGAAACATCTTCCATTCCTCACTTTCCATAGTTCCCAGGCAACCAAACCGAAGAGTGAGTCCGCCCCCATTCTCTTTGTGCCCGTCCATCTGGCTCGCCAAGAGTCCCACCAAGCCAGTAAGGTTTCATTGCCGACCTGGGAGTAATCTGCCCCTAGGGCCTGCAGGATGCAGCACCAAACTTCCCTTGAGTAGGAGCATGATGCAACGATGTGGTCCATGGTCTCGCTCTCCTGATCGCAGAGGAAGCAGTGTTCGTTGGCATCAAGTCCATGGCGTCGTCGTCGGTCGGCAGTCCATTGCCTCTTCGCACCGCCAGCCATAAGAAGATCTTGACGCGAAGAGGTGCCCATGTGTCCCAAATCCTGCTGCAACCGTGATGCGGGTGCGAGCCAAGGTGCAGAGCGCGATATGCCGATCGCGACGAGAACTTGCCGTCGGCGGTCCAGCGCCAAACCAAGGTGTCCTCCGCGTTGCTGAGCTCGACATCACGGATCCGATCCCAAATGTCCAGGTATTCCTGCATGGCCGGTGCTGTGATTCCTCCGGCGATGTGCCTGACCCATGCTCTGTTCGGCAGAGCCTGTGCAACCGTTGCCGATTGTAGAATTCGACAGTGCACAAGGCTGGCCAAGGTTGGAGCGAGCTCCTGGATGGAGCGTCCGTTGATCCATCGTCCCGTCCAGAAGAAAGTGGATCTCCCGTTTCCGAGGATGGTGAAAGTTGAGGCGTTGAAGAAGTCGGAGACCTCCCGTGAAGCTTGGATGGGGAGCTCAGCCCATGCCCGCTGAGAATCCGTGTGCTGCAACCAGAGCCACTTTGTTTGGAGTGCGATGGAGGTCAGCCTGAGGTCTGGCACCCCAAGACCGCCCAGCTCCTTGGGGCGACAGACTGTAGGCCAAGCGACCATGCATTTACCGCGGCAAGATTGGTCCTTCCCGGTCCAAAGGAAACGGCGGCAGATGGCGTCGATCTCCTGGCGCGCCCAAGGTGGCAACCCGTTCGCGAGCATGGAGTAGATGGGCACGGCCGTGAGGACCGACTTCACCCAGACCAGACGCCCGCTGCGTGCCATCAAAGGTCCGTGGCAAGCCGGTAGCTTCCTGGCCACCGCGTCCACAGTTGTCTGTAGGCAGTTCTTGGGCAGCTTGCTCGTAGAAGGGGACCACGCTAGATTTTCCCCGTGCTGTACGATGGAACACCTAACGGTCCAAATCGATGCTTCCGGATGAAAATCGCATATTTAGGCCATGTTCGCTTGTTCTGGAGGAATTTAGATGGTTTAAAGGAACGCTGGAGGAATTCATGAGAGAAAAACACGGTTTCGGATGAAAAAAGAAGCGGATCAAGCCAGGGTTTTAAGGGCATGCGAACAGGGCCTTATAAGGATCTACAAAAAGCAGGCCCAGAATCCGCTCCCGGCAAAATCCGCTTCAGGCATTCGTAGCCATCCGATGTAAAGATCGGACAGACAGTAAAATTTGGGGCAACGTGGGCAGTGGTTCTGAGCGGAAGCTCTCATTTGTCTTCTAAACTTGCAGGGATCAATTCACAAAACTAGTTCACTTTTACAAGGAGGGGGAACCAGGGATTGAGTTTTAGAGACATTTTGTCCAAAATAAATCTTCAGACAGTGGGAACTACTGAAGTACTGATCTGTGTGTCTGGCTGATTCGGCGGTGGCGGTGGCGGTGGCGGTGGATCTGACTCTGACCTGCTGTTTGCCGCTGTTGCTGTTGGCGAACACGTTGGTGGGCAGCGTGTACTGGCAGTACGGCTAGCCGCTCATGTTGCGCGCAGGAACTCGAGGTCGCCCTCGTCGTGGACATCCATGGCCCCTCCAAAAAAAACTGCACCATCATCAGAAACCCGTCATTAGGATCTAAAGGCGATACTCCATCGTGCATGCATCACTGAAAGGTGTGATCAATCGAGGAACGGAGTGAACGGACAATGCCGAGAAGCGTACGTAGAAGGTGATGACCGTGCCGGCGGAGTTGTTGGTGACGAGCTGCACGTCGGCGCATGACCGTGCCGGCGAAGTTGTTGCTTGGAGCCTTGAATGTTTTTGGAGCGGCCGGGCAAGGAGTCCACGGGCACCGAGTCGAGGCGTGGCGCGTGCGCAGTGACCGGTCAAGGCGGCGTGCACGGTGCCACGAGCGCCGATTTGTACGCAGTGCCGTGGTGGTCGATTCACGCATGCAGGCGCGGAGCTGCGGCGTACAGTGCTGCGATGCGCAGTGCCGCGAGCGCCGAGTTGCCGGGGACCTTGGGACCAGGCGTTCGGAATGCAGTAATTCAGTACACTGGGATTGGTGGAAGCCGGAGAGGATATTGGGTTTGGAAAGAATTAATTTGGAGAGAGAGATATAGAGAGAGAGAGAGAGAGGAGGGGAGAGTAGTTAGATTGGATAAGCGGTAAAATGATGGAGAGCTATAACGCCGTTAGCTTAAAATGGATGGAATGACGATGAAGGGATGAAAAATATCTATATAAATGACAATGAAGGGATTGTTATAATTTCCAACGGTAATGAAGGAATTTTCTCCATCAAATTAGGTAGAAGGCCGGAGTGGACTCAGGCACTAAGCAATCATGGTAGTCGACGAGATGATGATTCTAATATCATGGTGAAAAAAGACATGTTTGAAGATGATGATTTGTTGATTTGTTGTGAGAAAAAGACTTGTTCCTTCATTGAAAAATCTTTATTAATAAGAGCAATAAAAAAAAAATATTGTTCCTTTTTAATGAAAAAAGATCGGTTGATAGCGCGTAAATTTCAAAAGCCAACGAGCAGAAATGAAGGTCCCTTTCATCAGCAAAAGCCAGGATCAGTAGAAAGCGTGGCTTGGTCAAATATGCTAGGAATGGGTCCCGTCTAATGACAAATTAGATCTGGGGCAGGTTAACTATTTTGCCACAGTCCTGGATGCAGAGGCAAAACTAGGAACCAGTTTAGACCACCTAGAACTAAATTTGAGGTGGACTAAAGTATATACTTGGACTCATTTAGATATATACTGTAATTTGAGGTGAACCAGTGCTATTTAGATATAACAAATAGTTTTTCTAGACAAAGACTCATTTGCACCTCTTAGTCCACATTAGTTCACATTTACCAATTAATGAATAAATTGCTAGTCCGTTAAAAACTAAAAATTAGTCCACATGTTTGGATACCTAGAACGAAAGTTTAATCCATAGTATCCAAACAAGCCCTAACATGTCAGTGTAAAACATTACATTATATCGTAAGAAAATAAGGTTCAGAGTCGCCTGACCCCAACCCTGATTGCCTTTTATAATGACTGAAATACCGACTGTCTTTTCGTTTAGGACCAATTTACTGGCTCCTAAGACATACGTGTACAGTGCTCTGGCTACAGGTGATCTGAGATTGAACTGTATTGTTGCCACTGATTCTAGGCTGTGACATACACAGTATTGTTCAAGCACGGAAGCCCATGGCTGAAAAGTCAGGCTGAAAAGTATTCTTTGTTGATTTGTTATGAGAAAAAAACACTATACCATGGCTAATAAGCCAGGCTGATAAGTTCAAAAGAATAGGGCAGGTCAATCTAGAGAGTAGAGACCCAAACACTACCACTAAAAAATCACCAGTACGGCAGGTCAGCAACATCAACTTTCCTTTTGAGATTAGCTCCCCCATCCCCACCACACACACACACACAAAAAAAAAAACTCAGCAATGTACAACATGTTGGCCACTAGGCTTCACGGCAAAGACAATGCCAGAGATTCTTATAAGAAGAAATGGACTCATGTAGCATGCTGCTGATTTTGCACCTTCACCAGACATCACCTAACCTGGTTTCTTAACAAGGTGGCAAGCCAACCAACAAGTGATCCACATCTGACTGAGTGGCAACACCTAACATGCAGGTTTGAGGTCGATATCACCGAATCCAATATAATAGGAACACAACAGCAAAAGGGGAATAGTGAGCAGATGAGAGCCAACTCAATGGTTGTTGTGGATGATTTCCAGGGTCAACAAACTGCAGCACGTTAGTAGAAGACAAGTGGGCAACTACTTTCGCCTGCGTGTCACAACAGCAAAAAGGAAATCTGTTTTGCCGACAAAAGGCGGGTATGAATATGTAGTTTAGAAGTAAATGCATTTCTGGTAATTTGGCAAGCAATATCATGGAATCAGTACATAGGTATACCAAGATGCAGATCAACCCAACATTGGACCCCTTTCAATTGGTACCAAACATGCCCCATTGCATCAGGTAGGCATAGATGGCCACTGGTTTTAATATTAAGTAGGCAAAAAATTAGCACAAAGGATAACTGTAGCCTACAGATAAAATGTGGATAGCTGATTTTACAAAATGAAGGAACACTGTGATTTCGTTGGACGGTTGTTTCTAGTTCCAAGTCACATAGTGTATATACACAACATATCACAAACAAATAATGTCTGATAGTAGCATATATGAAAATGCTTCAGAGTCGTGTGACATTTAAAGAAAAAATGTGTATCCACTTTCCAGTTATTATAACTATACCAAAATTGTACAGATATACATACATTTTTGCTAAGAAGTTAGGAGATTAAAGAAGAGGACCTAAGCTCCAAAAGACAAAAGAAAAACCTATTCTATACCATGTGGTGTGATATACCTCTCGAGCAAGTCAAAGATGGAACTCTCACCAATCCTCCCTTTATATATCAACAAAAAATCTGAAACTTCTTTTATCCTGAGATGTATATGCCGCTTGTTCTATCTATAAAGAATTTGAGTTAGAATACTTTTATGTCCATAAGTATGCTGAAAATTTCGTCTCATCTTTTAAGTGGCTCAAGCTGTACTTCCATTGGTTCAGGTGACGAATTAGACTCCATTTTACTGACTACCCTGTCAGATTGCAAAAGATCGACTGTATCATCTTCCTCACTGCTGCCAAGCACCCATTTTCCTGAAGGACCATCAGCACCTGCTGTTCTTCGCTTAATCGCCATATACTCAAGGTAAGCGGTTACCAAAGTAACGCTTATAACCCATAAGATCAGCCCACATGTAAGTCCCTTGATGGTCTTACTGCCATATCTGTGCCCAAGATGCTGCAAACCAGTAAAGAGCGCCACGGTACCAGCAAGCGCTGCAGATCTCCCGGTCAGAACATGCAGATATTCCCAAACTACTCTGTTTCCAGGCAGAGACTCTCCATTCTCGGTTCTATGCGGTCGAAGATAGGCATTTATTGGCTGCATAGATGCGAATGTCAATGCTACTGCGCCAATTCGAGCATGTCTGGATTTAAAAGAAAAACCTCGGAGCTCAGCGACCGCAAACAGAACACCCAAGAACATGACAGCTATGCTTGAGTACTGAAGATAGGTGTGAGCCTGGAACCAGACCTCGCCTTTCAGATGTTTCAGGTATCTCGCAGCCATGATTCCCCCTGGCAGCAGAATAGCCCATGCCACAAACATCATAAACCCATGAACAGCAAGCACCGGGCGGAGGTCCTCCACTGCTTCAGCCAGGCCGCTCAGCAGAAGAATCCTGATAGGACGATTGCTTGTGTCCGAGTGCATGTTCTTCAAACTTAAGGGGCCCGGTGACCATTGAGCACCCATGGCCCAGATGACCTTCAGAGGAGTCGTCGGATCGATTATGTTCTTGCACTCCACCCTTCCGCTGCATGAAGGTGTTAATGGACGAGTGAACTCAAATACGACCGCACCATTTTCCGATCGGCATCGCTTATGTGTAACATTTTCATGTGTTTCATGCACACTCATCCCGTCCTTCCCGTCGATCCAATAAGATTTGACATGCCCCTTGCCATTGCCATCGACCCACCCGACATAAGCATAGCTATTTACCATTGCGCTACCAAATCCAATTGCAAGGTATCCACTCTTCTTCTCACCCCGTGCAGCAATGTTAATGGAGTCACCAGAGAGAGTCCAGAAGAATGTCACCTGCTGATCATCCAGTAGCACGCTGTTGTTGTACATGTCGCTGAGGCCTCCATCGACGACCTGAATTTTCCAGCCCATCTTCGGATCGTACAAGGATTGGTAGTACACTTGGTCCGGCGTGTTCCGATCAGGCAGCCAGACGAGCTCTGTTGGTGTAGCCGGCACGCCCTCTGCCTTGGGTCCACCGGCGTAGATTATCTCTGACGCGTTCCTGAAAGTGGCATTGCCTCCGACGGGGTCAGAAGTGATGTAGAGTGGCGCGTCGTGCCCGGCCTCGATGGAGAAGGTGACTGGCACGCCGCGCTCCACCTTGAGCAGAGGCGCCTCCTTCTTGTTGATGTAGAGCACCTTGTCGGGGTTGGGCGGATTGGGGTAATGCAGCGCCGGTCCAACCGTCACAACCAGCGGCGTGTTGCGCTCCGTCGTGATCCTGGCCTGATCCTCCTTGTCCTCAGCGTCCAGCGGCCCGACGCACCCGTTGCTCGCGTCCGACAAGTTGAGCTTGGCGAAGGTGAACGCCGTCCCCGGAGACCCGCTGCGGCGACTCATCAGCGGCAGGTAGTACGGCCGGAGCGAGTCCGGCGGCCGCAGCAGCCCGATCGCCCAGATCACCGTCATGTTCCTGGTGCCGTCCACGGAGACGTCGTACCTCTTGTCCTCGGACACCAGCGGGCGCGAGAAGCGCACGAAGGAGACGCCGTCGCGGCGGTGGCCGTAGACCAGCCGCGTGTTGTTGACGAGCCCGGTGGTGTTGTCGCGGTCGTAGATCGTGTCCGGGCAGACGCCCTCGACGAGGCCGTCCTTGCGCAGCAGGCACTCGCTGTACTTGGTGACGTAGTAGTCCTCGGCGAAGGGGAGGCCGTCCTCGGTGAAGCCGGAGACGGCGAGGTCGGCGCCGATCACGGACGGCTTGGCCGCGCCAGGCTTCGCCCACCCGAACGCCATGTAGTACTCTGATCCGACCGCCGCTTCGAGGGCGATGTCGATGGAATTGTTCGCCTCGTGGAGCGTCCACCGCACGCGGAAGCGCGGGGAGAGCTGGGCGCAGGAGTCGAGCATGGTGGGCGCCGACGCCGCGGACGAGGAGGATGAATCGGAGGCGTTGGCACCGGAGAGGCGCACGAAGCCGAAGAGGGAGGAAGTGACGGGGTCGAAGGCCGCGAGGACGGGGACGAGCGGCCACGAAAGGCCCGGGAGGAGGCGGAACACAAGGGACTCGGACCGGAAGGTGCGGTCCAGCGGCTCGGCTGCCGCGGGCTCGCCGCGCGATAGGGAGTCGAGGTCGGTCCCATCCGCGCGCCACCACCGCGTGGAGGTGGAGCCCGGCAGGAGGTCGAGCGCAGCGACGCGGAACGAGCAGCCGTCGAGCACCTCCACGCGGCCGCGGAGCTGGTGCTGCGACATGCGCAGGTCCGCCTTGTACCCCGCTAGGCTCGTGTTCGATCCGCACCCCGCCGCTGCCGCCCTGGCGAGACGCGAGCCGAGGCAGAGGATGGCGAGGAGGAGGCGGAGGGCCGCGGGCGCCATGGCTGCGCGGCGCGGTCGGCGTGGGCGCGCGGTCAGGGAAATAGGGTGGCGAGCGCGGGGCCGGGGACGATCACGCGGCGCGCAGGCGGCGGCGAGTTCGTCGGGGTCCGGGTGAGGGAGGAGGACGGGGAGGGAAAGGAAGCGGCTCCTCCTTCCGGGTCCGGGCGGGTTCGATTTTGTGCCGTGCGCGGTTTACTCTTGGTGCATGGTGGGACCCATCCTTATTTTTCTGGGTGCGATGAGTGGTGACTGTTTGAAAATCAGATGAGTGGTGACTTGTGTCATGGAGCATGTGGCTGACACCGTTCTTTTGTTACATAGCTTTGAGATTTGCTGGCTCAATCATTTAAATGTGCTTATAGAAGTGGAGTTTCCAAGCATATTTTTGTGTGTTTGCATATGCTGAAATTCACAAAAAATATAAGTTCTAACAGTGTTGATTTGATACATATGCTCTGAACTTTCAGCCCGTTCGTTTGGTCGTATTTGGCTTATAAACCATGACTTATTAGCCAACGAACAATATTTTTCTCTCACACCAAACCTAAACAATATTTTCAAATGGCAATATCACCCAACTTTTCAAAATCGACAGAGAGCTTTTATATACAGACCTCGTTCGACACAGTGAACAAGACATCCACAATGGTTCCTAACAATTTTGATAGGGACGATGAGATGATAGGGGCTAATCTAGGGCCAGACCTCGTGGTGCCGTCAAAAACATATGGCTAATTGTAGCATTAAGTTTGTAGTGAACAAGACATCCACAATGGTTCCTGACAATATTTTTTTTGATTCAATCAACATTTAGTATTCCATGCATATACTACAAGTTTGATATGATGGGGAATCTTCTTTTTGCACAGTGTCAAAATTGGAAATTTGGGGTGAACTATAAACATGGCCTAGGCCAGATGACCATCGGGGTCTTCTCTGAAAATGGTGGGTCCGCTCGGCTGCACTTTAATGCAGTGCTGCCACAGCTGCAGCTGGATGCGTAGGGAGAGTATAACACTGTAGAATGGCTGCCCAGTCGCTCCCCACGCAGCAGCTAAACGGGCCCGGTGTGGCCATTAGGAACTAATTAGCACTATATTCAGTAATATTGCAATAGAATTTCCAAAAGTTCGGGGTCAGTTGACCCTGATGACAAGCCATAGCTTCTACCCTGTTGGGTGAAGAGGGGTTCAAAGAGCAACAGTTGTGTTTCATCATCAAAGAGCTAGGATGTCCAATAAAGCTAAATCTCACCGAAAGTCTTAGACAATTGAATTTTTTGTATATCATATTTGTGCTTTACAGATAGTGAATATATATGATAAGAAAAATTAAGTTCACAACTGCCTCCTAAGCACATGTGGTTTTCTTACTTATCCCCTGTTAAATGTGGTCACTGAAATCATATAATAACTTTATTTACACATGGTTATATATAGTCACTTTGAGGTGTGTAACCTTTTAGTGATGTAATAAAAAATAGTTTTATCGTCTTCGAGAACATCTAATTGTTATAGTACTTTCTCTATTCCAAATTATAAGTCGTCTTGACTTTTCTTGTTATATAATATTTGTTATACATCTTAAGGACCCGAAGGTAAACGCGAGCTAGAGATCCAAACTTGCTGCTTGCTCCAACTTCTACAGGATCCAAGCATGCCCATGTGTGTGTATGTGATAATAAGTGGATGCTTATTTTTATAGGAATGACGATCAGTCGTTTACTACACTAGTGCTAATAGTACAAGTGTACTAGAACTAGTGTTCTGTAATCTCTAGGCATTAGGTTGTTGAATTGGACCTGACGGAACTGTGCAGCTGGTTGTTTGAACATATTGTCTGGTATAAGCACTCTCGCTCCATGACTTGGATGCGACGTACCTCCAAAAAGGCTGGAAATAGCTAGTCGCGACTGATCGTATAACGACATTTCATGGTTCAGTGGGTAACCATCGTGAAAGTGACTCCTTAATAGTCAATCTAGGACAAGGATGAAACAAAACTGTGTGCGTGACTTTGGACTCTTGGAGTGGTTGGATCCAGAGAACACCAAACTCCTCTGGCTGAAACAGAAGATTGACAAGTCATCATCACTAGCAAATTTTCACCTCCAGAATGTGCCAAATAAGCTGGAAAAACAAGAACCAACCAAGGCTCTGATAACCAAGTTCAGCACCAATTGTTTATTTCCTTTTTCCGAAATCCATGCCCCACCAAACTCCAAAGGCACCGGACTCATTTGACAACCTGACGGAGTAAGAAAGGAATATATCAATATGCATTACAGAGTTTGTGGTAATGACACTACACCATAATAATTGCTTGATGAGAGAGGATTCTCTGACTTAACATGCATTAGGGTGACGTTTTGAGTCACTAGAATGTGAAATGTTCAAATCGCTGTCGTCAGTGGCGGCGACAATTTCTTACCTAACGAACGGCCGATCGTTGGCTTCTGCCAAAGACCGAACAAAGATGATTGATCGGCACGAGAACGATTTCCAAACAAGGGCCGTCGCCCAAACAGCTAGAAGGCCGGTCTGCTCCAAAGACGCAACAAGGGCTTGTTTGGTTGGGACCTCAAAAAAATCATCAGACGAGGCAATAATCTCATCTGTCTAAATTTGGACAGTTCTCAGGACACCAACCAAACAACCCCAGATATTTACTGTGTCTAGTCGATGGCATCAACCCGCGACAGTGCGACACAGCCAATCTAATAGTATTGTGTACACGCTTGGTAGGAATGCAAGTTGGCTTGTCCGCAAACCGGTAACCCACATGGTTAAGCTTATTTGCAGGGGTTTGAAGACAGACCCGCTTGCATCTCACTTTGACCTAAATCTCACCGAATCCCTAATTTGGCAAAAATCCAACACCACAACCGTCGGTCCGTCGCCGTGCTAAGGGAAGGTGTTGTGGCCAATGGCGTCACGTGAAGAGAAAAATGAAGCTGTGATCAAGGTGAAGGGCACAACCAGGTTTCAGCAAATCGTGGATTCAACTACTACATGAATGTTTTTTTTAGTAACGGGCCATTTTTAGTACAACAGGCAGCTTTATCAAAACCCGCCTCTAAAAATAGTTCCCGAGTAGACCCGTTTCTAGAAATTGATTTTTAGAGACGGCTGAAATTTACAACCACATCTAAAAATGCACCTATTTCTATAGGCAATTAAATCTAGAGTGCCTCTAGAAATCGATTTATAGAGGCAGTTGGATCTAAAGCCATCTCTATAAATCAATTTCTAGAGGTGGCCACTTCTAGATCGGGGACGGGCAGGGGCCTGCCCTCCTAATGTTGCATAAAATAGACTAGTAATATTTATTAGTTCTACTAATCCTTGATATTATAGGTAAAAAGCCTACTTAAGTAAGTAACAAAAGTCCAATTAGAAATAACACATCTCCCTATTATATTTTTCTCAAGTTATATCTTCTGCTTGTATAATTTTACGTGGCTAGATGAAATAAATATGATGTGAATTGTTGGTTTTACGAACAATGTCTCCTTTTATTTTCAACTTAAACAATTAGCACTTGTGTAAGATAAAGAAAAAAAAGAGACTAAAGATGATTTATAGATTTTAAGACAATATCAAGATCAATTTTTTTTTAAACCAGCATCAATGCCTGACACTAATATCCTTTTTTTTTGTCTAGCATCAATGTCGGACTGCCCCCTATATCTGAATTTTGGCTTCGCCCATGTTGCAGAGCCATCTCTAAAAATAGGTGCAATACAATAAAATTTATATCTTTTTTCAAACGAAGTCAGATGAAGACAAACTTATGAAGAAACATATAGCTTTATAGTTGACAACTTTTTTATTTTAAGTCATTTAAAACCCCAAAAATTTTAGTTGAAGTTCTCACATTTTTAAATTCATTTTTTTAATGTTTCATACGACTCGGATGGAGAAATGACTAAAACCAAAGTTATATATCTCGAAAATATCTAGAACAACTCAAAATTCAGTGCTAGAACTCAAACATCAGAATAATTTGTGGTTCCATGGACAATATAATGAACATACTCACACTAGTAAGCACCAATATATTTACTTTTTTTTCGGGAACTAGCTTAGCACGTGCTTCATTAAGGAGGAGTTAGAACGTTTTAATACACGCCCAACACCGCTGGTTGGCAAGGTGCCGCCTAACGATGGGGTGAACACACGACACAGCACCGTGAAGACAGTTGGGCACACTTAGGTGTACTAGCTAAGGAAACCGTTTTGCGACTTAAGCGGAAGAGGATCCATGTGCACGGATGCTGGCATGCTGCACACAGATACAATGCAAGCTCCCAAGCTCCTATCGTCTACCGACCAACCCCCCAACAGGCACACAATAAAAATGATTCCTACCATTAGTGCTATATATATCTACAAACATGATTATCATCCATGAGACGCCCAACTCATCCACCTAGATCGTTAAGTGTTTGTTTTGAAATCTGTGCAGAGTTCAGCGCCAAGTTCACAATGCTAGCTTCAACCTATGCTTGCAGGGCTTCGCAACAAGTTCTATTTTCTCCACTTATTATTTCTGTTGCATCGACGTCCGCCAAGTTATTTACTATGACATGGATTAACTTAATTGAGCGGTTCACAAGGTCGCTGCTACTCCTTTAGTAATGAATTAGTTGGAATAGGATCCTGCGCAGAAGATAATATCAAAGAAGCACCCAATGAGTAGAACAAAATTGTGACACCCCAGTTATTTACTAAACTGGAGGCTACCATACAACTCCTAACAATCTACTAAGATAGGGATTTATTGAAAATTCCGACAGAGTTTGCGTTGTAAATTAGAGGTCCAAAACAAGAAATGCATAAGATGAACATAGTAATATCAAATGAACTAGAATTTAATCATCACAGCCCATCCCAAGAACCAGAATATATCGACCAAACCCTTTGCAAGATCGTCTTTACCAAAGCACAGTTAAAGCAACAAAATTTAAATTATTACATGTAAAGACTGGATTTTAGCAAGCTAAGAACTTGAAATTTAAATGCGTGTGCTCAAGATGCCACTATCAATAGGTACCTAAACACCAAATAAACATAAAGCATGAGTACTCAGCAAGTACAATCGGAAACATAAGAGAAAATACAACATGTGAATCATAACAAAGGTCGAATAAATCATCAATGAAGCAGTAATTTTCATCTGAAACGGACAACACCTAAATACATCCTTAACACTTACCGATAAAGCCGAGCAAGTAGGTCCAACACTTACTCACAGGAACATGAATATGAGAACCAAATTGCATATCCAGATCCACCGGAACATGAATGGAATGTAAGGGAATAAATTGGAACTTCAATCCTGATATATACATGAATATATACCAAGAACATGAATGTTGAATAACACATTCAGAGAGCTTGAATAAACACGATCAACCAAACATGCCATTGCACAAGTTCATCATGCATTGCCTTAATTACGAAGAGAATCCGGTGCTTCCCAAACTTGTGAAGCAACACTATCTTAAACTACTCCACAATGATCACAACTCTATTTCACGAATACCAGAATAAATCCTTCACTAAAACCCTAAATTGCAAATTATCACGGTTTCTAAAAATTTGACTAGATTTCCAAGTTGCTCATTGTTTCGGCCATATTTTTTAATCTACTACTCGACTAATCGCATCACAAAAATACATCTCGGACATCTACATGGAATTTCCAGCATGTTTCATTCAGGTTCCATGTCTAACTTTGGATCTGACTTGGTCAAAAATAAATGAAAATATTTCTGCACTGAAAATTCCTAACCTGACAGCAGCACTGTTTTAACTGTTACTCCTAAACTGCCTATCGGATTTGAGTGAAACCAGCACCGTGGGAAAGATAAAGGAAAAAGTCCGTTTTTGGCCCTCCAACTATGGCAGAAGTTTGGTTTTAGCCTTCCAATTCGAAAACCAGACACCCGCAGTCTATCAACTCTGTAAACCAGATAGAAATGCCCCTCGCGCCGGTGCGACGGCGGTTTCTGCCCGGTCAACCCGCGACGACCGCGGTATTGGGCCTTTTTCCTTTGCTCACGGCCCACTTACTCCCGCACTCTCCTCTCACTCTCTCCCGTTCGTTCCCCAACCCCGAACCCTAAGTCCCGACGGCGGCGACGGCAACGGCGACGGCGGAGGGTGCTGGTGCGGGTGCGGATCGACAGCTCCCAACATTCCTCGCGCGGGGACCCGTTCTAGTTGACGACTTGCTGCTGTGGCGGCGGGAGTTGTGGGCGCCACCGCGGTCTGGTTTGTCTTCGAGCGCACGGGCTACAACTTCCCCTCCTGTCCAACGCCTTGCTCCTCCTCGTCGCCATCCTCTTCTTGTGGGGCAAGTCCGCGTCGCTGCTCAACAGGTGCAGTTCGCTCCTTTGCTTTGTGGTGTTTTGTTGGCGTGGTGCTTGGCCTCTAAATTGGGAATAGTTTGTGATGGATTGTACAAAATTGGATAATTCCCTGTCAGTTTGGATGTAGCTTATTTGTTTCTTCGAGTACCTCAGTACCAAAATAGTGTATGGTCATCGTTCATAGGAATTCCTCGTTCATATTCTGCTTCGGCAACTCGTAGCACTAAGTCATTGTGTATGATATGTTAACTTGATAGAAGTTAATTGCATTTGAATTTTGCGTGATATTTTGTGATCAGCAATGTACAGTGTACCTCCATTCAGAGTGGTAGTCTGAAAGAGTTTTTTGGTTCCTGTTGCATGTAGTGTAGGACATTTTATGCGCCATGGACCCTCTGGATACTCTTCCTTTTCGGTTTCATTATGGAGGAGAATTCTTGAGAAGAGGAAATAATGTGTATTACTTGGGAGAAGAAGTGGAGGTGTCATACATTGACCGACCATGATAAAGTCTCTCTCCCTGAGGTTATGGGGCACCTTAAGGATTATTGCACTGTTGAAGAAGGAGCATTATTGCACTGGCTTGTTCCTGGAAGGCAGCTTTCTAATGGCCTACGTGTTCTGATGGATGATCAGACTTGCATTGAAATGGCAAACAACACTGAGGAAGGAGATGTAGCAGAGATATATGTTGAAGGACATGCAGTTGATGATGAAGAGAAAGAGGATGATGAGGACAACAACTTTGAAGATGAGATTGAAGGTGAGCAAGAAGAACATGATGACAGTGAGTTTGAAGGTGGATATGAGGAACTGACAGATTCAGGTGAAGATGTCTTGGTTGCTCATAATAAGCATGAAAGTAGGGAAGATGTAGAGAAACAGATCAAATTTGTAAGGGAGTGGTACAACCCTAGCAAGATGGACAAGGGGAAGCAGGTGGTTGATGACCAAGGGAGTCAGCCAGTTGCTAGTCAACAAAATATTTCAAGTGTTTTGAATGATAAAGAAAATTTAGAGGACAACAGTGATAGTGGGTTTTTGCCTGGAGATGACAATTCATCTGAGGAAGATGAAGAAGTTGTACAGATTCAAAAGAAGTTCAAGGAATTCAAGAAGAGCATGAATAGTGGACAAGTAGCAAATCTGGATGATGTCATCTTGGATAGGCCAATTTCTGGGCCAACCACTTATGAGCTTGATGATGATGCAAATGACACCCCATATGCTAACAGCAGTGCAGAGGATGAGTCAGAGGAGGAAGCAAGTGAGGGGCACTTAGAGACCAAGAATAACTATTACCCAAGGTTCAAAAAGAATGTACCTAGTCCTAGGTTTGTGATTGGCATGAAGTTCACTGGGAAAAAGCAGTTCAAGAAAGCAGTTATCAGGCAAAGTTTGCTAGAGAGGAGGGTGATCAGGTTTAGGAGGAATGAGTCACACAGGATGTTAGCTCTATGTGATTGGGCCACATGTACCTGGAGATGTTTGTTGTCAACCAATTCAAGGACAGACAGCTGGCAGGTGTCTAGTCTAAATGGTTTGCACACATGCCCCCAAGGAGGGACAACAAGTTAGTAACTGCTAGTAGGATTGCAGAGAAGTATGAGAAGTTTATAATGGACAACCCAATATGGAGTTTGGAAAGAATGAGAACCATAGCTCAAGAGGAGATGTTTGCTATGGTAAGCATCTCAAAACTGAAAAGAGCAAAGGCAATTGTCATGCAGAAAGTACTAGATGGAACCAAAGGCCAGTACCAACTTCTGTACAGATATCAGCTTGAATTGTTGAGAAGTAATCCTGGCAGCACAGTCATTGTGAAAAAAGAACTTCAGTTGGAACCACCAGTATTTTAGAGAATGTATATTTGCCTGAATGTATGTAAAAAAGGATTCATGGCAGGATGTAAAAAAGTGTTAGGCCTAGATGGCTGCTTCTTTAAGGGTGCAACGAATGGGGAGCTTCTGTGTGCAATAGGAAGGGATGCCAACAACCAGATATATCCCATAGCATGGGCAGTAGTAGAAAAGGAAAACAATGAATCATGGGACTGGTTTTGTGACATTTTGTTCAGAGATGGAGTGGGAGATGGGGAGGGGTGGGTTATCATATCTGATCAACAGAAGGGTATCCTTAATGCAGTACAGAAATGGGCTCCCAGTGCTGAACACAGAAACTGTGTCAGGCATATATATGTTGAAATTCAGCACCAATAATTCTTAGAAATTTAAATAATGTTGCTGTACATATTTACAGACTACCAATGACAAATTTGACAACCAATTGAAACACCCAAACCAATCTAGAACTGTTTAGGACCTAACTACTCCCTCAGTCCTGACATAAGGTATCCTAGATTTTGAGACATATTACGGGGTAAAACAAATTATGCATATGGAACAGAGGCACAGAGGGGCACTAGGCGGCATAGAGTCGTGAGGCGGTGTGAATAGGAGCGGCAGACATAAGTAGCATGAACAGTGCATGTATGGATACAATAGTACTTTTTCGTCTCTAATGACAAGAAGCCAGCCTTCCTTTCCTACTGATTTTTAATAAATTAAATGGCCTAGCTTGAAATAAAAAAAACTAGCATTCCACGGAGAAAAATAGAACTATTTGATACGAAATTAGCTTGCATGGTCTTAAATTTAGTTCTTAATATTCTAAGGCAACCAATTCCATACACCTGCAACTGCACACAAACTACGGTTGTGCATTCTCATGTAATGGTTTCATTGTCTGCAAATACTGTATACTCCACTAGCTAACACGGAGAGCAAATTGTTGTAAATCTTGGTTACATGCTAGAATTATCTCAATTTCATAAGACACAGTGGTTAGCGAAAATAAAATCAACCAAGCTGTATATTCTACAAATCGGCACCTCATTTTACCGACAGAGGTAGCCTCACATGACAGTACTTGAAAGTAGACGATCCATTCTGTGTACTCAACGACAGATGTTAACAAATGGGCTTCTCTCATGAAATGGTCTTTCTACGCTCAAATAACTTAATTTCCAGCCATGTTTTGGGTAAAACGAGTGAACTTTTAAACGAAATGTTGCAACATATCAACATCCAAAGCTCCAGCATAACTTCGTCCATCAAAATTCAGTAAACAATTTCCTCAAAATAAAAAAAATCAGTAAACACATGCAACCACTGTAACAAGCTACAGTCTACTAATTTATATTGAACCACAGAGCTTTATATATCCTCAGAGATAGCATTAGAGCTCATGTCAGTTAGCTAGTAGAAAGAAAAGGGTCTGTGCATGCATACCTTGGTCAAGTAAAATTTGCAAATGATGTTCCCCATTAATTCATGATGCTCAAATCCATATCCTGGGAAAGAAGACGACGACGATGGAAGCAGAAAAAGCACAAGAGTCACTGAGGATTCAAGAATAGGCGAATAGCCATGGACCACAAGAAATGCATTGTGAATAGGTAGGCCACTCACTGTGAAGTGAAGCCATGAAACTAATGAAACAAAAGGGCAGTGACTCTTACCAACAACCCTCTTCATCAGTAACGAGCAGCAGCGTTGTTCTCTCTACCCCTGCGTACGTGCATCTGAGAGGTCGAGGAAGAGAGGCGAGGATATGTTATGAGTAGTAGAGAGAGGAGATGAAAATTCATGCAGAGGGGGGCAGCCCAAACCATGAATGAAAAGACCAAATGTGTGGACGGTGTGTAGAGAGAGAGACAAGAAGAAGAAGGTACTCAGTCCTACTCCTACCTTAGATGCAAACCAGATCTGGCAGAAGCAAGTCGAGTCCAGGGTCTTTGCCAAATTTGGGTCATCACATGGTGCCCTCCACGCTCCATTTATGAGCCAACAGGAGGTTATTAGCACCGGCGCAACCACCACCTGGATCGCCATGGCCGCAGGAGGACCTAGCAAAGCAAGAACTCGAGACGAAGAAGAAGCCGAGCAAGCAAGAGCAGAAACAGCGCGAGCTAGCTAGAATAATGGCTACAGTGTCCAAAGACGACCTGCGCACCATGAGAAAGAAAGGAGAGGGGAGAGTGAGAAATGATGCGGTCTTTGTTCTGTTAAATCCTTACAGTGCCGCAGTGTACTGTCGGCATGTCATGATTCAGCTCCCAAAATGAGGTGAGGCAGCAAGACCGGAGAGTGAGGAAGTGGGAGAGAAGAAAATCTTGCATCAGGAGCATGCAAGCAAAAAATAAACGGCAAATAAAACTAGTAGTACCAATCATTTTTCAGTGTACCACAAAACCTACCACGAACTGGCTCCTTCCTTGGAAGTGATTTTCAGTGTACTGCGAAACCTACCACATGAGAGGCGTGGAAGTGGAAGCCAAGTCTACACTCTTTGGCTTGGCTGCTCGCTCCTGCTCCTCTCCATGGGCGGACGGCCTCATCCTCTTCCTCGGTAGTAGCCCCCCGACAGCCTGACCGAAAGGAATCAAATTAAGAGCAAAAAATATGGGAAATCTAGAAGATAACGAGGTGACATGTCCTTGGTGCCTGGAAAAGCCGTCGTCCCCTCGCAGCATGCGTGTCGTCCATCTCTGCGACTGCGTGGCACAGTTCCACCGCGCGAGCCCGTGCCAATTCCTCCCCGCCGCCCCCACCCCCCTCGCTTCCTTCCAGCCTCGGTGGTGGCGTCTCAGCGTCTGCCGCCCCACTAGCACCAGTAGCCACTAGCTAGGCAGCAGCGGCTGGTGCCCAGATCAGAGCAAGGTAGCTAGCCTGCTAGAGTCACCCAGACCCAGCACCCCCTCGGCGGCGTCGGCCCAGGACGAGAGAGAGGCTGACAGAAAGAGAAGCGAGCACGCGGCGGGGACGGCATGCGCTCCATGCCGGCCGCCGCGCCGGGTGCTCGCTCTCTTCTGTCAATCTCTTCAGGGCCTAATCCACCGCTGCTATTTCTGCAACTAAATACAGTACAGCACGTACGAGCAATAAACACACAATCAAAGCAGGGAGCAGTTCGTCGTCTTGGATAGGAGACCGATCGAATCCATCGGCCGTTCTTCTTGGATCCGGTGAGCGGCGGTGGCCGTACTTGGAGCAGGAGGAGGAAGCTAGAACGGAGAGAGTGGATGTGTGTGGGTGATGGCCTGAGGCCGCTCCGGTCGAAGATTATTTATTAAGCACGTACTAGGCTGACTGGATCAGCAGCAGAATCAGCGGCAGATTGCCCCCACAAGCCGCCCGCCAGTGCTCCAAGGACGGCGAGGGGGGGCAGGAGCATCGTCCTCTCGACCTGAGCCGATGACGTTTCGGCCGTTGGTTTGCCCGCTCGTCGCTTGTGCTTGTGCTTGTGCTTGTGCTTGTGGCATCCAACTGCGTTCTTGCGGCACGTCGGCGTTCTCACTTCTCAGTCACTGCTGTAAAGCCGCCTGTAACTCGTCACCATTGGACTTTCCAAAAACTCATCACCATTGGTCCAGGAGAGCATTTTTAATGTCATCGGACTATTTTCTTCCTTCCTGTCAAAATCTGATACCGAGGACTCCCTCGGTCACCAAATAAATGTCGTTAGGGTATTTGTGTCGGACATTTTTTTTTAAATTTAATCGAGTTTGTAGAAAATATTAGTAACATTTATATCTTTAAATAAATTTATTATGAAAATAGATTTACAACGATCTATCTAACGATACTATTTATGTATTATAAACATTAATATTTTATTGTATACATTTGGTCAAAGTTAAAAATGTTTGATTCTTCGAGAAGCGAGAACGACACCTATTTAGGGACAGAGGAAGTATTGCCTCCGTACCAAATTATAAGTCGCTTTAATTTTTTTGGTATATCAATTTATATGTATCTAGATATAATGTATGCTTAGATAAATAGCAAAATGGATATACCAAAAAAGTCAAAGCGACTTATAATTTAGAATAAAGGGAGTATTTCATTATAACGAATATACGTTACCATAATAACTTTATCACCGCCGATTTTGCTCGTCGACATGAAAAAGTAAACGGTCACAATAGTGTTCATCACCGTTGGTTTGTAATTTGATGATAAAAAGCCAATAACTTTAAAATAAACTCTATCCTAGACGGTAGTTGCCATCTCGTCCTCACCCGTGCTGCCCACATCCGCCATGTGGAGAGGGGAAGAGGGGAGTGGATCGCCACCACGCCAGGAGAGGAGGGGTGGCCCCTCGCCATCATCTGCCAAGAGAGGATAAATCTGAGCTGTCGTGCCGCACTGCGTGTCGCTAAGAACAGATTCAAGTGGTCGTTGCACTACCGGGGAGGGGAGCAAAGAGAGTGGTGAGGGAGAGAGTTGACCTAGAGGGAGTGCACATGGGAAGGAGTGAGAGATGGAGCCAAGAGTGTGTGTGTGTGAATGAGAGAGGGTGGGCTAGGGTTTGTGATCACTTACACTAGTGCAGGACTGAGTTGCAATCCCGGTTGGGAAACCCTATTTAATCCCGGTTTTCCAACAGGGATAGCGAATCCAAAACCTGAATCGGGACTAGGGGGGCTTTAGTCCCAGTTGCTATTACCAATTGGGACTAAATGACCCCCAAGACATTGCCCCGGGATTGGCACGTTTAGTCCCTGTTGGTGTTTCCAACCGGTAGTAAAGGTTCCTTTTTTTTTCTATTTCATTCCTTTTCATTTTATGGTTTCTTTTCAATTCAATTCTTTTTGGTTTTGATTAGCTTTTCGTATACGAATTCTACGCTGCCAATATATGTCCATATATACGTATGTTTAAGGTCCCGTTCAAGCATTATACATAAATAACACACTAAAATGTATGAAACTATATATATACAAATATTTCATGAGGTTGTGCATGCACGAAATATGTACATATATAATAAAGTCACAAATGTACTCATGTCCTTG